AATTCCCTAAGATGCCCACTCCAGTGTGTACCCCTCGACCAAAGTCAGGCGGGATAAGCTCCAACTCGCCTCTGACGACGGCCGGATGGACGTGAAAGCGAATCGATAGTTAGCAAATCCATCTGCTGACTTTAACCACGGAGGCATTTTTGAGTCCTTCTCAAAAATGCCTCGGAGAAAAATAGACTTTATGGCGCAAAAGAGTAGAAAGTGGCAACGATGGAAGATTTGCTCCAATTCGGGACTGATCTTTCACATCCTCCGTTCTCAGAAGGGATTAGCTGCAAACCCAACTGTAGAAATTTTGCGGGTCGGTGACAGTCCGAAATCTGATCAAAAAGTCTTGCTTGTATGGATCCCCCTCCCCCCCCTGCACAGTGCATGACCAACAAGGCGGGCGTGCGTGTCTTGTTTGTGAAACACCTTGAACATCCTACAGTGCACACATGCAAGTCTGCGAGTGGGACGCGACCCACATGTGCATCGGTGTGCATCCGGTCAGGCATGCGTTGAGGAAGTGCAGCAGAGCTTAAGTGCTGCTGCTCCGCAAGGTGGATGGCGGACCGTAACCAGCCTAAAAGACACGCTGGGGGACTCACCTGAGAGGCCCACTGGATCTGCTGCAAGCATAGAAAAGAAAGACCTAGAGGGAGTAGATAAGAGCCCCCGCAAAGTAAAGATCAGTGTCTATGTCTGCGGGTGCGCGTCTGTATACAGTATATGCCTCTTTTTTTTTTTTTTTTTAAGGGACATACATAATCGTAAATCAAACTTGCGCACTTTAATATTTGCTTGCCCATCCTTTGCGGTTAATTACAACCTAAAGTCTGGAACACATACAGCGGACATCGCCGGGTGCTAGATTTAATTCCTGGTGACTCTCTGCCAGGCCTCTCTGTCTTCAACTCCTGCTCGTTCTTGGGGCATTTTGACTTCAATTTAGTCTTGAGCCAACACATAATATTCCACTTCTTTGTTTTTAAGAAAAAAAAAAAAAAAAAACGAGTTGCTTTCACTGTAAGCTTCGGGTTATTGTCCATCTGCACTGTGAAGCACCACCCAATGAGTTCTGAAGCATTTGGCTGAATATGAGAAGATTTAAATTGGGAATTTCTCCATTGTGAGACAAATAAATATTTTCTTATCGTAACAATTCCTCCCAACCCAAATTTTGGTCTTCGCTGGTTTAGTTTTAGACATTTTTGGGAGGTTTCAGTAAAAACTGAGCACCGTGTGACAAAAATCAACTTCCGTTGCTTTGTACTCATGTTTGCAATATTTGTTTTTTTTTTTTCCCCACAAGTCATACCTCTGGAAGTATCGGGTCCAGCCCAGCGCAGTTTTCGGAACATTTGTCGTAGACGAGGCGCAGTTTGCGGAACAGCACGGAAAGCATGCGAAGATGCTCCTGCAGTTTTCCCAGTCTATCCTGGTGGGTGTTGGGGTGGTAAGTGACTCCATTAGGCAGCTGAGAGGGACCAGGAGAAATGTTGTGTTAAGTAAATGCCCGCATCGATCCCCAATGACTGCTAAGCGCTCTCTGATTTGCAGTAATCCTCCAACTCGGACAAAATAGATGCGGCTTCATTGCAATTTCTGAATCGCCTTCCTCACCGTTTAAGAATGACAGACCCGTTCGGCATGAAAGGAGGACGTTTGTGGAAATATGAGGGAAACAATTGCAGAGAGGAAAATACGAGACGCATCTGATATGAAGTGCTTGCATAACGTGACAAAAGCCTGCCTTCGGGGCAAATGAGGTGAAGAGCGACTATTAGAGAAATATAAAAGAACTCGACAGACAAGAAGGCACAATGAGAGATAAGAAGGGGGAAAAGGGAAGATGAAAATCTTTTGTGGGTTGTAAAGAAAACCAGTAAATAAAAAAACTAATAATAAATAATAATCTCGTGTGTGGCCATTCTGCAGTTGAGGGCGGTTTGTACGGATCTTTGTGGGCTGTGACTTGAGTATGTGGCAGGATTGGCGGTTTCCCAGAAGCAGGAAGTCATCCATGATTAACGCAGGCCGACCTCGTTGTCAGGACACGATCAAAGCTGAGCTGCATTTTGAGCACGCAGCGATCAGGCATACTAAAGCGGCTAAAAAAAAAAAAAATCATGGCTAAAATATATTAAAACTCATAAGTCAAGGGACTTTGGAGTTTAATAAGGTCCAAGCTCATAGCTCCGTTCACTCATCCCAAATTACTGTTCAACATTGGAATCTATTTAAAGGCCACTAAGGCGTACCACTGAGCACGCAAAATATTACAATTTGATGTTTTTTAAAGAAGGGGGGGAAAAAAATACATTGTGCTTTCTTAAAAACTAAATAAAATATAAAGAAATTATTTGAATTATTGTACATTGAATGTGTAACTTGAAGGGGCCTTGCCGGCGCAGCGATGCCAGGAGTTGGAATCAGCTGGCCTGTTATAATTCATTTTGAATTAGTCTTTCATATTCATTCATAGCTCATTTGCTTTTAAGGATAAGCCTAACCTATAAAGCCAAAACATCTAGAGATAATAAAACTGATCTTGTATATAGATTAATGTATTGCTTGAAATTGTGAAAAAAAATACATATATATGGGAAGAGAATCATTCAAAATCATTCATCCATACTTGCGAGCCAGCCGGTCTGCAATTCAGCCCGACTTTTATGCAACATTGGGACTTGTTTACATAATAACCACTCCCACACCTTGTTCTCCGCCAATCACATGACGAGCAAGGTAGTTGATGAAACGCGGCCTCCACAATCAAAAGGCAATCGAATTTGTACGGCCAACGCTCACTCTTATTTTTTGCTTATGGTTAAATTTGTCAGTAGTGGCTTCAAGAAAGTGTCATTCATTTCCAGCCTGGATGAAAAAGGGTGAACTTTATCTGCTCTGGAGAGAGTCTCAGCGTCTCCAGGAGTCACGGAGCATCTCCGCCTCGGGTCGCCATGGTAAATGGATGTTAAGTGTGCCGTGCCACATTTTGCTTTAAGTGTGCCGTCTCCTTTTGTTTTATTAATGAGTGATTAGTAAGCATAGAGAGGAAGGTGGAAATACCTGCATATTCCTGAGGAGCTGGAAGATCTCCATGGTCCTGAGGACAACATCTTGGACTGTCTCCTGGCCAATGCGGCACAGCGAAGCCGTGTTGACATCACGGGCTGCCTGGGCCTGCTGCTGCTGTTGCTGAGGCGGTGGCTGCCCGGTAAAAGGTGACACTAGTGGAGGGGTTGTCATGAAGACAGCAGGTTGATGATTGAAGCAGTTCAGACCCTTATGTGCCTTGATCAAATGGAAGATTGCAGGTTACTCGAACTTTTTGCCCTTCATCAAAACATGAGACTTGAATTTTCGTAAATACCATCCGGCATGATTGAACTACAAGCAAACCATCAAATACAATTAAAACATTGTGTGAGAGATTTGGAAGATGAGTGAAGTGGGACAAATAAGCGTCAATTAAACGTCAATTGAGGGGGGGGATTTAGAAGAGGAAAATCACTTTCGGCCAGCTAATGCTCGCTATCAAGTTCTTTCGTAAATTAGAGTCTTTTTAAAGTGTCTTTGGATCAGTAAAAGTCGTTAAAATGACATCGTGAATAGAGAACAACACAACCGACTGCCATAAAACGCGAGGAAGAAGCAGAGGCTAGGGAGTAGTTCCAAATGAAAAAGTGGAGCGTTTGTTGTCAAAGCTGAGTGAAGAGCCAGAAAAGGCGACAGCAGTTTTTAGGAGTCGTTGGCTCTCTAAACAAAACTTTAACACAGCTTAAAACGTTTAAGTTTGTGAACTAACACGTTTGACAATAAATTATATTACCTGTGTGGCGATTATGTGTCCGTGTTGATTGCATGTCAAGTTCTCAGCTGTGGTGGACGGTGGAAGTATCGCGAGAAGTCTGAAACCTTAACTGCAGAAATAGAAACGCAAAAATAATATAAGTCATGGAATACGGCTCGTGGAGTCGGACCCACTTGGTGTGAGGCCATTAGTAGAAAGACTAATTAACACTCGTCCAACATGAAGTGATCCATAGACTGTACTTGAGAGTTTTCTAGCTCCTTTTTGCATTTTGAAGAGAACATTTGGAGCGTTACGGTTAAGCTTTTAAAAGCCATGAGTTTATGTTACCTAAGGTCACAGCGCCATGAAGTGGTCCACTTAGCAAATAACAGGCAACATGCCCTGCATGTTTCCCAAAATGAAACATTGCCAACCATGCATGCCTCTCTATTCAGCCTAGAGAATTATTTAGTCCAATGAAAAATAGTATATATGTTGTCGGACATACATTCTTCATCATATGTTCTGATTATCTGAATTGGCTGGAATAGGAGCCTTGTTGGAAACAAAGAAAAAATGATTTTAACTAAAGGCTTGACCAGAACTGAAAGTAGATACCAATACTAATTACTTAATTGACATGATTCATTCATATTTGAGGTTACAGGCTGGGTTTCAATTTAATTTTATCTGTCTGGCACACATTTAAAGTAATGCCCGATTGCTTATTATTTTACTCCTTAAAATTATGACTGATACTAATCGTCCAAATTCATTTGTCCGCCACCAACTTTCTAATGACTTAATTCTGCCAGTGAGCTTGTCATAATATATGAATGTTATTCCTAAAATCCCAATGACTCATACCTGTAGGGAGGGCGATAGGGCTAATTTGTTTCAGGAGATAATAACATGAAGCGTGGGTGAGAGCACAAATGCACAAATAGAGAGAGATGATAATTGCAATGATGATGATTGATGAGTGAGTGATGAGTGTTTTGGTCATTAACTCAAGGCTTAAGGGAGAATCAGTGAGGTAAAAAGTAAAAGGGAATCACGAGACACAAGGCTGATATTGGGGTGAGCAGATAAACTTGAACAGGACTCAAACTGGAAATGGGAAAATGTCGTCTGACGGCAGCTAAATTAAGGAGTGTTATGACTGAGCGCACTCAACATTGTGCGTCAATCCAGGCAGCAGAGGTCTTGGTCTACAGGTATTGATTTATTGAAAATGTCATCTTAACACATAACTTACAATGCTGATGGAAAAGTGGTTGGAGTGTCCAAAGCCAAAATTTAAAACAAGTTTTGTTTTGGGGATTTTTTGTTTAATCACATAAAACGAGCACAGAGATAACTCTTAGTTGAGAAAATGAACTTGTGTCGTTTGTCTTCCTTGTTCAGCGCCGCAATTTGAACATGTAAAGCACAGACCTCAGAGTTTTGCACACATAACAAACAGTGAGAGTAGAAAAAAAAATCAACAACGCAACAACTTCTCAGGCTTTTCTACATTTTCGGGTCTTCGCACAGGGTGCAACCAGGTTTCAGGTCAGCCTGTCGCTCCATTTGGATGGTGACCGAGTGAAAGTTGTAAGAGGAGTAACAGGCCTGCGTCATCTCTCGCAGAACGGTCTGCGCATCTACCGACTCATCTGCGACGAGAAGGTCGGAAACATAAGATAACCTTTATTCATTCCACAGCAGGGATATTTGCAATTGAGAGAGCACAGGATCATAATGAGTAGACCCCCCCCTGAAAAAAAACAAAAAAAAACTGCTACTCACCTATGGCCACATGCGCAGACAGCACAGCCTGATTGACTGTGAGGGCCCAGATGTGAAGGTTATGGACCGCCGTGACCCCTTTCACTGCCAGCAGACCTTCTCGGACCTCGCCGTACCTCACCCCTGCTGGGACACCTGAGACACGGATTTTATTGGAACGCATGCAAAGCTGCAGCTACGACAGTCTGTGCAAATACATTGGATTTATTTAACATGAGCGCCTCACCTTCCATCAAGACAATCAGAATATCTCTCATGATGGTGAAGGTGGTGCACAAAACTAAGATGGAGAAGAGGAACGTGCAGATGGGATCGGCCATCTTGTATTCTGGCTGAAATGTAATCAAAAGACAATTGTTGTTCAACCAAATCCATGTTTCCCATCAATTTTAGAAGACATCGTAGTACACTGCGGAATTCGCAATGGCATGTCGTATTTAGCCATTCGTGAGGACGGGGACTGTGAACGGTGAAAATCATCAGTCACTGATGCCCCTCTGAAAAGTTTTATTTGCTTTATGATACCACAAATCTGAAGCAATGTGCTACTTTTGTGTATGTGGAACTCGTCAACTGATTCCAACATAGTTCCTTGCCACCAAGATGGTCCCAAGGCCCTACTTTTGTCCAAACGCAGCTTCCCAGATCATGGCTACATAGCGGAACTTGTTGCCCTTGTGAAACACACATTTACATTCGGTACACTTTAGATGAGAAGGAGGGATGCGCGTGTACTTTCTTGTGCACTGCTCCTCACCTTGAAGAAGATGACGATGGCGCTGACAAGCACGCTGATGCTCTGGAGGAGATCTCCCACCACGTGCACAAAGGCTGCGCGCACGCTGGCGTTGGCCTGATGCACTCGGGCCCCTGCAAGAAATATTGACCGATGAATTCCATTACAGGCGACCTTTTTTTTTTTTTTTTACAGTGGGTGCTAAGCATTTGTATTAGTACATTGTGAATAAACATACCCTGACCGTCTCGGTTTTGCTCTACGTCGGCAAGATTGTCGACGAAATGGGCATGATTGGAAATCTGAGCATCTCCTTTTCCTCTCCCTTTCTCGTGACTGTGGCCATGTGACGAGAGCCCTCCGTGGCTGTGCCCATGGCCGGACTGATGAAGGGTGAGGGCCATACTAGTCAAAAAGCGTGTTTGAAATACAGCAGACGTCGTTGAGTAAATATCATGTTCAAATGTTTGGAGATTAAATCGGTTGTGCTCTGTGCTCACATAACATTGGCCAAAACAGCACAGCCGGAGGTGACGAGCATGACTGTGCTCTGGATGGTGTAATCGTCACTGATGAGACGCTCCACAGCCATGTAAACCAACACTCCTGTTACCAGCCAGATGGTGAACACTGACAGCAATGCGCCGAGGATTTCTGCAAGGATGAGGAAATAAACACAGAGTGGAAAAGAAGAGAACAGTAAGTTAGAAAAGAGGATTCAAGTTATTTGAAAAAGGTTTTCAGATTCATTGAAAAGAAAAAAAAAAAAAGACATTCGAGTCATTTTTGAGTGAAAGAACATTGCTCCAGCTTACCCGTGACCCTGAAGCGGATGAGCCGTAGAAAGTGGATTGATATTTGACTTCAGTTCAAGCATATTAAAAAGTTCTAGCGCTTTACCCGCCCGATGCCAGCCATAGCTGAGTTTGTGCGTCGCCGGTCTAGAGGAGAGCCAAAGGGACAACAGGCTGATGATGAAGCTGGTGAAGTCCACCAACAGGTGAGCAGCATCGGTCATCACTGCAAGGCTTCCTGCAAAATAGCCCCCTGAGAAGAGAAGGGAAGACAGTAAAACACATTTAGTGAAAAAATTTGTGATGAATAAGCAAATAGTATTTTTAAAAATATCAGGACTCACCAAGGATTTCGCCAATCATGAAAATCAGGCAGATGACAGACACCACATACAACCTCTTCCTGGCGACTTTCTTTTCTCGCGCGCGGTCTTCCTGCGCGTGGCTGTTGTCATGGCAATGTTTGACAGCAGCTTTGACATCGTGATTCAGTGCTTCGAAGCTGCAAGCAATGTGGAGAAATGGAATTAAAACAATGTCCGTCAATACGTAGACCAATGCGTGAAAGCTGAATAGTCGGGTTTGTGTCAAAAAGTAATATGATCATCGTCACAAAAAAATGAGTTACACTCAAAAAATAGTTTTTAGTAATCATCACTTAGTTCACCGGGCGGCGGTCGCTCATCTGTAAGACCACACTATGTTTCTGGCTGGGATGCTTACTCATTAAGAAAAATAACAAGAAAACGTGCCAAAATAACGAGGTGAAACTGCAATTGAAAATCCGTGATAGAGTGAATCCTCAATCACCGAACCGCAAAGTAGCGAGGGAACACTGTAGTGCATCCAATCCGTACAGGATGTGAAACTGCAGATTTGCTAAAAGCATTATCAGGCCAAATCTCGCTGTCTTCCTTCCACTGTGCAGGAAATAAAAAATGTTGCTAACATTAGGACCACTGTTGTCATTTTTTGCTAGCCTCTTTTTTGGGAAAGATTATTGCTGGAGGGGTCGCAAACTAGAGCGAAAAGACAAAGCGTGGCTCTTGTCTGCTACCTTGCTTGTACTAGCTTGCACACCAGCTCACCGAAAATTCAAATTCAACTTTCAAAATAAGGGTATTCTACTGTGTATATTTTACGTTTTATTTTGACTTGGTAGTCTCTGTATTGGCCCGTCAGAGACTGTGGGCGGGCCGGATGTACATACTTTGTATTGAACGAGAAAGTGCGGTCGGAAAAAAAAAAAAAGAAAAACATTTTAATTCTATTCACTTGTGCTTTTACTGTGTGTACTGTGCAATATTACAGTGCTACGTTTGTAGTTTGGTAGAACCGCGCAAGGAGCGCCGAATAAACCCCCCCCCCTCCCCTCCCCCCCGCCCTCACTTCACACGTTCCCATGCTTGACCGAATAAAAACGTCCCGTTTTTGCACACTGCTAATCCCATCAGGGTCTAGTCCCGTGTGGGGAAAAAATGAACTAAACAAAAAGCGGAAGAAGAAAAAGAACCTCACCCGCTTAATAACACAGTACAAAAAAATCTTGTACGTTTGTGGCAAGGTTACATTGAATATGATTAATGCACCAATTGAATTTTCTCAATATATGTCAGCAGTTTAAAACATACACGTCTTACCTTCCCGAGTTACCGTAGCTGCTTTTAACATCAGAGACAAGGCGAAACCTCTCGGGATCCATAGATTTAAACATGACTCGCACGGTGAGCGTCACAGCTGAAGGGAATTCCTCACAATTCAAGGAGACGGGGGAAAAAAAAACACTCGAAAACTAGCAAATTTGAAGAATAAATAAATAGTGTGCAAAAGGATCTGCTTAAAAGTAATTTAAAATGTTGGAAGCTAATTGAGTGGATCTTCTCGGAGCATTGTTGTCCTTACTTGGTCTGAAGTTGATTGAACGTCAGTCAGTGCCGTGCAGCCAGTGTGCAAACGGCCTTAATACTCGATGCATCCGACAGCCTTGTGACCTAAGCACCGTGTGCAAAAAAAAAAAAAAAAACAACAACGAAACAGAACTTACAACAATATACTCATAGCTACAATGTTAAACAGAAAACCCAGCACTTATCCTCTTAATTCTTCCTATGCTAGATTTCTGTTTGCAGCTATTGATAGTACTGACCTTTTGTCACCGATCTGTCTCAATTGTGACTGCGAAAACAAGTTGCTATGTAGTTGGAGATGAGTCCACTCATAATAAGCTTTAAAAAGTATTCCCCCTTGTAATATATCGCGATAATGATAACACTGGACAACACGATTTTTGTTAGTTAGGTCTGGCAGTTGGTTTTAACCATTTTTGGGAACTATATTAGTAACTACACACAACCTGCATCTCTGACAGTGTGGAATAAGTAAGTTTACTTTTTTGTCATTTAAATAAGTGCACTACCTAAACATGCCACTGGATGGTGATAACCCCCAAATTCTTCAATCCAATCCAGCCCATTCAAATCTCCGGAAGCGTGGGGCTGCCAATGTGGAGTTGTATTTTTCAACTTATTTTTACAAATTTTGGCTATGTTCATCTCACGCTTTCACCCCCTAAAGTTGAGATTTTCCATTGAACTTGATATTCATTGATTTTAATAGGTTGTATTCTATTAGTCTAAAAATAAATTGACTGAAAACATTCAATGTACTGTATATGCAATTGTAAACTGATGTCATATTATTAATTATGATCGTTTTCTGTTTAAGCGTCATATTATTTCATGTTATTTCATGTTAAAATGACCTAAATTACAATTTAATAATTACTTAGACATATTTTATATTGATAGCTTCTGATTGGCTGTTGAAGTAAGGGGAAAGCAGGAAGTAGTTCGTTGCCGAGCGAGAGTGTTGCTCGATATTACTGCGGTGCAGACGTCATTCAATAAAGCTGCATTCAAACGGAATGCATCTGTCCGTTTGCCGTTTCTTAATTTAGAGCCATCCATTCATAAACAACGAACCCCTCAACTTACACGATTAGCAAAATATGTGAGCTTGCTGACAGGTTGGATGATGACAGGGTGTACATTTGGCCTCTTATAATAACACCTCAGAGTTTCATTGTTCTACTCCGATCTGTTTTGGAAAACGTGATATCCCCAAAAGTTTGCCCATTCGTGCATCAGGGAGTGCTGAAATGACATTTGTTTTTTGTTTTTTAGATGCTCAAAAAGAAACCAAAAAACAAGTGACTAAAATAGCCTCCGGCAGGCTATTTTAGTCGATTCAATGGAATCTTAAAAGTCGTCCTGTTTTGCCAAACAGTTGTGCGAGTGAATAGACGGTGCAGTGGGTTGCCAAGGGATACGGAGAAGCAGCAAAATGGCGGGACAAGTGTTTTAGTCACACATGACTGTTTATGAATTGAAATGCTGCTTTATAAATGTAAAGTCTCACACTGTTTAGTAGGCACGTAAAAAAAAAATGTACGTCACACCACAGTATCCTTTAGTTATGATGGTGGTTGTCCTGGTAATGTCCCCTCTCCTCATGCTAATTACCATTGAGTTTCTGTTACAAGACCCCCCGCCCTAAAAAAAAAAGTGATGCATAAGTATAGGTCAGGCTTTTGCACAATTCACTGACGTCAGGGCGACTCCGTCACATTCACGCTCCAATGATGCTAGTTTTCTTTGCCAAGATGGGTGGTGGTGATGTTTGAGGGACGAGCGACAGGAAAGAGGAGGGCGGAGGAAGGCGAGAAAGTGCCCCTTAAGTGCCAAGGAACTCATAACAGGAACCAGACGAGGCTCCACGGCCAAATACTCCTGACCCTGAGAAGTGAGCCGCTGTCTTCAACCTAACATGATGGAAGTGGTACTAACCAGACTGCGGGACTTCACCTGCAAGGCCGCCACCTTTGACGCGTGCACGCCCGCTGGAGTGTGCAGGGATCCTCGAAGCAGGCTCGACTGCCCCAGGAATGGAGTTGCAGCTGGAGAGGAAAACAAGCTGGACATTGAAAGCGCACTAGCCTGGCTACGAAGGGAACTGGTAAGACTGGGAAATGTTCATCGTTCAAATCTACATTTGCTCAATTGCTGTTAGAACTTCATGACATTCTGTTTAATCGTGATAAAACTTCCAGTGAGCTGAAATGGAAACACATTCATCCCGGTGAATGCAAATGGAAGGATAGTTACTCTGTCAAGCCCCTTTGTGTCACTGAGTTCACGGTCAAACTCCAGTAAATCCTCGGGAGTGAAGTTCAAGGTCTTTATCTCCTCACAAAATGACCACTTGGGTGCTTTTTGTGTTGGGGGGTCGGGAGGGGGGGGGGGGGCAAGCCTTCGTTAGCCCGTTTGTTCCTAAGATACATCTGAGTCACGTCGTTAAAATGTCAGCTCCCCCTCCGTAACCGTTAGACATTCCTCCAGTCTAATAGGCTGTGTGCGTTTGTGTCCACAAGTCCTAAATCCACAAGTGTGTCTGTTTGCACCTAAAAGTGTGAGCGAGTGTGAGGTTCATTGACTGGCTCCCACAGTTGGCTTGTCATGGTAACCGAGTGGCCCGCATGATGTCACAGAAGCATACTCACTCATTCCAACAATTCTACCTCCCTCCAAACGGACCCACTATGTACTGACCGACTTACTCACCTACCTATGCAAATACCCCATTAAGTAAAGCTCATACCAAAACTAATAAAAACCAAACAGGAAGCATTTTGCAAAAAAAAAAAAAAAATTAAAAACGAATTAAAAACTACCAAATCCAATCGAAAATCGAATTACATGTAACCAAATTAAAAACAAAAGAAAAGACAAAACCAAATCAAAACTACCGTATTTTTCGTACTATAAGGCGCACCTAAAAGCATTCAATTTTCTCAAAAGATGACAGTGCGCCTTATAATCTGATGTGCCTCATATATGGATCAATATTATGATTTCTTGAATGTAGTATTTGAAATGTTCTGTGAAGCGCTTTGTTTCAACTGCAGCAGTTGTGAAAGCCCTTCATAAATGAAGCTGTATTGTATTGTATTCCATTTAGCGTAGCTCCATCTAGTGGATGCATAGCGCAACCGCAGCCACTATTGTAGCTTCTATTCTATTTTATGCGCCTTATAATGCATTGCGCCCTATATATGAAAACAGTTTTAAAATAGGCCATTCATTGAAGTTGCGCCTTATACTACGAATCGCCTTTTAGTGCGGAATACAGTATACGGTAAGTATCATGAAAAATTCCAAATGATCATAAATCCCTAACTTCTCATACTCAAACTTCCTATTTCCTATCCAGTTAAAGTATGTGCATGACACGGTGTTGAAAATGCTTGGTTGGTGATCATGAACTCCAATTGTGAGTCAACGACAGGCTGAGCAATGCCCTCAAAAGTTCAAGTAGACCCACAAGTAAAAAGTCCAGCTCAGCGTGTGAATAGAAGCCCGGCGGTGTGTTGGCATCACCAACTTAGTGAAAGGACAATTTGCGTTTATTGTCTCGTAGCTCAAATTGCAAACAAAAGGTAGCATTTTCAAGCAGAGCCCAGTCTTCGAGCTGCAGCTGTCATGAGCAGAGAAAAGAAAAGCAGATCAGCGCAGTGGGTGGGTTTTTTTTTGTTTGTGTGGGACATTCCTTGCTTTTAATTCCGAATATCTCATTTGACGAAAGCAGCAATCAGACAGCCACTTGTAGTAAAAAAAAAAAAAGGCAGAAGAGGAAGTTCAGAAAGAAGAATTTACATTTGAGAGAAGGTAATGCCCAATTAAAGTGGAAGCGGTTTCACTTTGAATGGGCCTACTCAGCTGGATGAGTCTAAATGACAATGACAAGCAATTTCAAAGAAACTCAATTTGTCAACTCAGGCCTTGAGCAAAAAATTTTTCCACCCCCCTCAACTATGCACAGATTTTTGCTATTCGTAGGCTGGCCCGGATTCAGTCGCTGCGAATACCAGGGTTCCACTGTACGGTTTTATGTAATATCACCATTCACCACTAGATGGCAGATATGGCTAAATTTGCTCTAATCAGCAGCGCAAGTATTGTATGCCCAATAATGTTTGACGAATTTGAAGTGACATGCAGGATGAAAATAGTAGCTCAATCATACAAACTTTTTGAATGACTAGATATTTTTGAAAAAAAAAAAAAAACATTGAACATTGATTCACAAAAAGCCCTTTCCACTGGGGGAAGAAAAAAACAGTATGTTTATTTTTTTTTTTAATTGTTCCAAGGCTGGATTTGAGTTGTCTATGCATTTGTCTATTAAGCTAAAAGGTGATGCGTGCCGTGTACAGATGGAGATGCGATCCCAAGATCAAGTGCTGATCCGGCAGCTGATGGAGCTTCATTCCGGCATCCAGGAGCTCAAGCAGGAGCTGTCGGAGGAGGAGGAGGAGGCGAAGGAGGAGGAGTTAAATGAGGAAGGCAGCTCCTGGTACTCGGAGAGCGAACAGGGAAGCGTCTACTCCAGCTCGGGGGAGGAGCTCTCACCCTTTCCCTTTTCGAAGAAACCTTGGTGTCTTCACTCCACTTCCTTCGCCGGGAAATCTTTCAGCAGGAGAAGCTCTCTGCCTTGAAAAAGTGTCATAGAACTTGTCCCGTCCGTCTCTCTTATAACTCCTTGCGAAAATTGCATGGCTTGACGGTGTAAAATGGAAATGAGCTCGACATGAAGAATCGGGGGCAACATGTCTCCCACCCATGAAACTGTGACTCGTTTTGACTCGTAATTGTTATTTTGCATTGACCAAAAGGCAAGCGCTGTCACCTTTGTGTAACTTCGTGTTTGTGCGACAAATTTACTTTTACGACAGTATATGCTAATCGCATCCATTTTTCTTTGGGCACACCTTCTGAAACATCCACGAGTTTCTATCCCCAATGTGAGGGCTTGAGATTTGAGACACAGAAAATAGGCACTCAGAAACGTTGGCAGGCACGGATCGGTACAAAATGTCAAAATAAGAAGAACGAATATATAATCGATTCATGAGTCTCGATATTTTTCGTCTGTGTCGTTCCAAATTTCGACAGCAGCAGAATTTTCAGGTCTGATTTGCCAAGTGTGCTATTGTCCATCGCTGGATGAAGGTTACATCGCCACGGGTCGTTAGTCCTGAAAGCTCACTGACCTTTCACGATTTTAACGGCATGCGGAATGGAGGCGACATGTACAACGCCACAATTAAAGCAATTGTGACAGCACCGAAGTGTGTCAGGTCTTTGTTCAGATTGACATTTTTAAAGCTTACGCGCAGTTGGCTTGATGAGAAAAAAAAAATTAGGCATGGGAACGTTAGAAAAAACATACATTAATAGTACTGAATACTTACTTACCTAATCGCTGTTTTGGGCTTGGGCCAGAACCCTATCTCACTTCAAAGTAGTGCTTTGACGCAATCTTGTGGCACATCAATGGCGGTTCCAATAACTGTACTGCTGATTCATGACTAAGGGCTCTCTTTCCACGCTTTGTATTTGCGAATCAAGTACATTTCTAAAAGAATGACACATGGATATATTTAATAACCATCATCAAGTTTCTAGATTTATTTCCAACATCAACTATAAGATAGAAAAAGCAAGAGCGATTCTTTTGTTTGTCCTATGACCAAAAGTTTCTCTTCTCATTACCTTAAAGGAAAAAAAATGAAAGCACATTTTGGTATAAGTGCAAAACATAATGCAGCAAAAAAAAAAAAATAAAAAAATCAAAGCATTTCTTTTGTTTTTCTTACCCTGCTTACTTGATATGCAATCGCCGTCAATTTCGCTCACCTTTCTTTTCACAGAATGAATGAGCCCGTACATCCAATACATGATTTAAATTTCAATCTCACAAAGCTTCAGAATTGTGCACTTGTCATCGAGGACCTTTTCCACTTGGGTCCTCCGAGATTTACTGCTGATCGTCACTTGCATCCTCCGGGCCTCCAAAACTCTCCCTTCTCAGTCTTTGGATCTCGGTGTTGAGTCCCAGCAGTGTTTGAGCCAGCTGGAGGTCCTGCGAACGCATCTCCAACTGTGTGAGAGCAAAGCAGAACTTTTTAATGCAGTTCAGTTGTATTTAACTTTTAAATCCAATATATGCGTTTTGGCTTTTAGAACTTTGTTTCATTTTGTTCATTTTTTTAAATTTAGCATGTGCAATACATGTTACACAAAATGATCATTTATGTAATGTGGCACTGCAGTGAGATGCCAGTGGTGGCTATCGTATGATAAAGTGCAATTGCACATCCACTACAGTAGGTGGCAATGGTGTTTGCATTTCATTTTTTTCTTTTAAGTCCAGGAAAATGGATGCACTTCAGAATGAAAAACAAGAGTAATGACGTTATTCTTTCTTGTAAATTGATCTCTATTTCTCTCCATTTTCTGTAACGTTATGAGGAGGTGTACTTTGATTTAAAAGACAAATCAAACGATTTCTAGTTGCGGCGGAGAGTTGGGTGGCGCAAAATGTTTTCTCCTCCCTCAGTGGGAGTAACAGAAAGGAATGAAGAAGCGCTGCTTTAATTGAAAACAAATAAGTTAGCGTACAGTGAGTTAATGTTCAAAGTGTGCGTCGTGTTACAGGGGATTACAAAATTATACTTTTAGGAATAAATAATTGCTTCCTTTTTGATGAACACTTTGACCTACTGTGCTATCGTATTTGATCTTGGACAAGATGGCGGTAAGTGGAGAGCTAGGATTTTTTTTTTTTGAGGTGGTACAGGAGGTAAAAAGTTTTGAGAATCATTGACATAGTGGACAGGAAGTGAATCGAGACAGCCATTGTGTCAACATACCAGTTCCGACCTCAGCCAAGTGATGGCTCCGTCTATCTGGGCCCTCCTCAGCTCCTCATTGGCTTGCTGACTCCTGCTGATGCTGAGCTGCGTCACGCGGGCCCCGTCATTCTCCCGCGTATCTTCTCGAGATCCTGCGCCCGTCCTGAAAGCGTCAATCAGTTTATTCTTGATATTCTCCAGGACCATGGTGGACAAGGTGTCCTCGCTGTGGCTGTCACGGTCCATGCCGGGTGCTGGGGAGACTCGCGCGGGCTACCGAGCCTCATGTGTTGACTTGCCGCAGTTTTCCGGCGGCCTGTAAAAACTTTGTCCGGAGTTTGTCGTCTTCTCTCCGGCGGATGCGCCGTTTCTGTCTTCTCCTCCTTCAACGCTCGATCTGCCCGCCTTGTGTGGCGCTGCCTTGTTTTGTTACTATGGAGAAACACCCCCTCCTCCCTTGGGTAGCCCTAATAAGAATGGTAGAAGATCTTGGACAAAGACTATTGTTGCTTCAAATACGAATTGAAAAGACCTCCCTCCCTTTTTCCCAACCTAAGCCACCACACCCTCCCCCACACTTTTTGGGAGGTGGGGGGTGCTTTTTGGTTCTCATTCAAGCCACCCCCCATACAACTCAACTGTGAGAAATGTGTTAGGAAGGGGTTCTCTTTTGGTCGGTCTGATGTACAGCGCGCACACCAAATCCATCAAAGCCCCCCCAGGGACATCGCGTCCGCTTTGCTTGCCTAAATAAGACCTGCTTGTCAAGCTTAGGAGGCAGACAGGTCGGGCGAGGAGCGAGACACTGCTTCAGTGTTAGCCCATTCCCCAGCACAAAAGGCCATCCTACAGTGAAATACAACCAGGCTCTTTGTGTCCAAGTTAAGTCCAATCCCTGTAGGCTACGTGGGATGTTTTTTGGCAGCTGTGAGCAGTTTTTCCTCTTGACTTTTTGGATAGACATGAGACAGGGGTCTAACTTAGGGGCCTGACTCTTCGCAGAGAGAAGACAGCACAATCGGCCAGCGCTCCAAGTGGATGGGCCTTTTCTTGGCAGTCATTGCTTACTTTGTTGCTTTCGGTGGCGAGTCATGTGAAAGAACACGTGTGTGTGTGTGTGTGTGTGTGTGTGTGTGTGTAGCCGTGCGAGAGAAAGACAAAGTAGTGGCAAACTATACAAATACATCCTAAAACACTTTCTCGTGTATCCCTTAAAGCAAGGCCCGGGGGCCAGACCCGGCCCACCAGATCATTTTATGTGGCTCGCGAAAGCAAATCATGTGTGTCAACATGCTAAAATCTGTTCCGAAATGTCAAATTGTCATGTGTAATAAATAGCTTTGGGATTTTGCAATAATTTTATTACCCTGTTTTACGCTCACTTGAACAATCTATTATAATTGAGTTGACTGATTTCAAAACGAGTAATCTATTCGTTTGTTGTGTACAAGTAATAATTTTGTGGTTTCACTGTCATAACGGCCCTCCGAGGGAAGACGCAACTCCAAATTGCCCCGTGAGTAAAATGAGTTTGACACCCCTGTGGAACTTTTATCCTTCAGGCACTAAAGGATTTGGAAAGGGATGGAAAAGTTCCGCTATATTTCTGATAGCTCTACTGAAACCGTCATGTTCACAATCATGTTTCTCGTCTACCATCGAAACATGCAACAAAGAGAAAGTTAGAATTCTGAGTCGACAAAAACTGCACACAAGCTGAATGGATAAAAATGAAGCATATCGGAAATGTAAAGTTTCCAGATTTCTTGAGGCTTTGAAGACTGTAAAAGCAAGTAAAGGTTATAAACTTTTTTAATTCAGCGGTTACATAATAGCAGGGCCCCCCCCCCAAAAAAAAACTAAGCAATCAAGTTTATTTCACGACTGTTGTTTAGCTGAATTTCCTGCTTCCAATAGGTCATCTCTGCTACCCTCTAGTGGAACACCCAGGTAGGAATGCAGCTGTTTTTTTTTAGCATGTCCTGAAATTGCAGTACTGTTTTCAAGTTATCAAGACCCTTTTATTAATTTAGACAGAAGTCGTGACATCCTATTTTATTTCACCAAGTTGGAATCTTGCACATATTAAAATTTCAAATCATCATTAGGCTGGATTATAAATTGTCTGTTGACTTCATGAATACATGAAATCACTGTCGGGATGCTACTGACTTCAGTCAAGTAAGTTCACATAATAGACCGTAGGAATCAAACATGAAAACGCCTTACTCATTCGTTCATTCACTCACTCAAGTTTGGTTCTGTGAATTTTTGAACCTAAGGCAGGGCAACATGACTCTCTCCTTGTATTTTATGTTTCTTGTGTCTGCTCCTACTCCTCTTCTGACCTGGCTCAATTTTTTTCAGTGGCGGCGTTGGGCCCTTTTTCTTTTTCTTCTTTAGACAGCTCAGGGGGTTCGGGTTGTGCGGTTTCCTCTTCCTCTTCTTCCCCCGTCTGTCTGCGTTCTTAATGATGCCCTGCTCTTCTTTCATGGTGTGAAGGTTCTGCTGCTGCGCCGGGCTCACCAGCTCACCCAGCTGGGCGGCCTGAACCTGGTCTAGCGACGACTGGCTGGGTTTGTCCAACACTATGGTGTTGAGGATGATGTAGAGCAGAGGCACGCCTGGGATCTTCTTCAGACCTGTTGTCAATTTGAAGTCCTGTACAACAAACCACAGTATACATCTAAGCAAAATCAGATCAAATGTGACATTATTATACATGGCGACTTCCAACATGGCGGCGAGATGACAGCTCGTGTAAACTACATCGCTATGTGTGTACAAACAACTAAAAAGTCAATGTAACCTTGAAATGTCCCCCTATAAGATTACAAAAAGTGTTACCTGTGTGGCAACAAAGTAGTGATGTGGGTTTGTGGTTTCCAGCATAGAAAGCAGACACTCCGAGGCAGGGACTGGGCTCTTTAAATGATGACATTTCCTCACTTGATACCTCTGCAAAATGATTTTGGCCCCAACAAGCTCTTTCCCCAGAGATTCCAGTTCTTTCAGAGCGCAGCTGGGGGAAAACCACACATAGATACATAACCATATGATGTTATTTTTATAACGGAACTCAAATATACTCACTTAGTGGTGCAGAGCTGGACCTCGCCCATGAGATACTTTGGCATTTGTTCCTTGATTTGAATTTTATTCTTTAATGCCACTTGACAGAAAGTTCCGTCAATAAGAATCTGAAAGGGTTCCCGAAAGTTAAAATTGTATTTGTAAAAGGACAACGTTTTCTTTGCTATTTTCTGTCGCTTGATCTTCATGATTGATGGAATTTACGCGAAAGGTTTCCCTACATCAGAAATGATAAAGTTCCAAATGAGAACGTTGCAATTGAACGTGATTCGCGAGGTTGTCTCGATTACTTTAATACGTCCACGTTGTACACGACTGGACGAAGTTACATGATAGCAGCGTGTGCTAAGCCCGAACACATAGCATGTATACTGTGTTTACTTCCGCGGACTCCGTTCGGAAACAATATGCAGAAGAACGGTTCCGCTAATCATCCATGTTAAAATGTAATGAACTCATGGGAATTTATTACCATTATTATTATTATTAATATTAGTAGTAGTAGTAGTAGTGGTAGTAGTAGTAGTGGTGGTGGTGGTGGTAGTAGTAGTAGTATTAGTATTAGTAATAGTATTTTCCGTTTATTTCACGATCGCGGCTTCTTGTTTGTTTTGTTTTTACCGGAAACGCAAGGTGTGTATTCCGGAAGTGCGTCAGACGCACAGCTTTAGTTAAGTGACAGCCGTCGACTCCGTCCCTTGTGACTCACAGCCAAACGACGTTCGTCCAGGATCGGGCCCTCGTCTGACAGCTCGGTGCGTGAACCCTTTTCTATTCCGCGGCACCTACTATGGAGGCCACCGACCCCCGGTCGTCGAGTCACGGCGGACCGGCCAGCAGAGGAGGGTACCCGGGCGGGGAGAGCCGCAAAGACCGCGACGTACCGGGCGGCGGTAACGGGGAAGACGATCGGGACCGAGGCAGCTTCGAGTGCAACATTTGTTTTGACACGGCGAAGGACGCTGTCATCAGTATGTGCGGCCACTTGTTCTGGTACGGACCGAGCGAGGTGGTCTTCGGGCCTGTGGTGGGGGGGTCCCGATTGTTAAAAATAATCAAATCTGACTTGCCGTGCGGCCTTTATTTACATCTGTTCAAACGGTAGAATGACGCCTATATCTGCGGATTTACTAATGTGTGTGAGCGTGTAGTTGGAGATTTCTCCTGTGAGAACTTTGTTGCTCATGCTGACCTTGCATGTTTTAACATGTAATGGCTGACTTGCTTGTAGCACTTGCTGGCTGGGTTTATGCAGATCATTAACGATGTTTACTCGTGGAATGTCGCACGAACTCGGTCGTGTTATGAGCGCTAACTGCTTCGAGTGTCAGACCTAAAATTCGACTGTCAACTTCGATCTACGCTGCAACCCGATTGTACTTTGAAGTGATGTGATTTTCTTTTGAGTGTTTGCCAAAATGTGCAATGACTTGTCGTAGGCATTTACACATACTACTTAACTGCAGAGAATGCAAGGCGTCTATTAGGGATAAGGCGTGTATTTGTGTGAACTTTTTCATCTCACCGTCCACTTTTGAAAGCAATCAATCAACAATCTGTAAATAGCAAGCCCAATGTGGAGCGGCAGAATTTTAAGCATTGACAAATTAGATTAACGTGAAGTAACGTAACGGGCAGTCGTTTTCCTCCAGGGCTTTTAGTTGCAGCTGCCGCACGGGCGTAAACTTTAATTTCTAAATTGGAGTTCTAGTTTAGTTGCCATGCTTACTCACCCGTCGGCCCCCTTCCCTCTGGCCTCCCCTGACGCCTGCCGCCTTTGTAATATGATGCAACAATCGGTAAGGCAGCCGTACAATGACATCAGTTTACCTGTTGCAACTTTTGCCTCGCAGTTGCCGTCATTTTCGAAACAGCTCTCGGTATGATGCGGTGCAGTTCTGCTTCACAGCAAACAACACGCGCTGTAATTTACACATGGCGAACCTATTTCCATTGCTGAGTTATGTTACAGACCCACCTGCAATCGTGGAACCGCGCAATACAGAGACCATATATGTTTTTGAAAAATAGTTTTATACCTCCCCGTATGCTGATTTAAAATGTATTAAACTGCATCGTAAAGTATAAAAGATCTCGTTTTGGATTTTGCATGCCAAAAGCAAACTCACTTTTTCTGACAAATGTGATGGTGGAGATTCACGTATGTCAATCAGTGAGGTCAGGGAGAAGTGAGGTCGCCACAAGCACTCATCCTGCACCTGCAAAATCGAAAAACCTGCTTTAGTTTAAAGCGAAAGTCCTGCTGTGGGAAAAAGGCAGCACGTGAAAGCAAAATCAACCGCATTTAAATAAGCAATTCAAGTGTAACTGGAACGAATTGGCGAAACTGTGATATCATTTTAACGCTATTTTTATTTAAGGGATAAAAGCAAAATGGGGAAGAAAAAGGGATTAAAATGGCATGTTTGGTAAATCAACGTAAATAGAAAAATACAGTCATGAATAACATAGCTGAAATGCCAAAGAAAGGAAAAGTTCATCGAGGATTGTCGGGGTTAACGTTTCCATAATAATGAACAGTAAGAAATAGGAATACATTTTAGCGTGAACCTAATCTGGAAAACCAAATCATGTGTGTCGATATAATAAACCTGATGTCGTTTATTGTGATAGATTAATTAAAAAAATATATTAATTTCTTAAATAGCCCTAAAGTCAATGCTTGCCAATTAGCCACACACTGGCCTGGATTAGTCACATGGCTGTTCCACTTTGGGGGTCATGTGACAGCACATGGCCGCCTGCTGCATTCACTGATGTCGACAAACGGAATCGTGTAGTCACGTGTTGAGGGAACAACACCTTTTAAATGCCCTCCGGCGGCGCAAACGCGCGAGCGTTATCATTTGAGACACATTTGCTCTGATACACTTGAAGTGCCTTCAACTCTTTATCGCAAGCAATGAACTGCTTTGGAGTCTGGCCATTAGAGTCGGACATTTTGTTCAGTGGCGTGCATATTCCGAAAGAATGTCAAGCCATCTGATCGCCAGAGTTACACAAGCACAACATTGTCAACTGTGTGTGTGTGTGTGTGTGTGTGTGTGTGTGTGTGTTTCTTTCTGGGTCCCTTTGTGTGTCTGTGGCATCCGGTGGCGCTTGGTTTCTCTCAGCTGGGTCTTTGGTGTGTCATTCATTCAACCAGCTATGTCAAAAAGTACATTAAAGAAAAAAAAAAGATGATCATGATCAATTTCACAATCAATATGGTGGTTGTGTTTTGCAGTTTTGTTCAGCCGCAGTCTTATCGGAGTTTTTGGTGTGGTTTCCGTATTTCGCTCACACAAGAGGGGTGAGATGTGACAAGAGAAACTGCAAACCACAACCACAATAAGCAATTTTTTTTTTGTACCTCGTATTGTGGCTGAATCGCCAAAGAGTAAAAATGTGAGTGATTCAGTTGGTTAGTTTGTGTTTGGTAGTGAAGCTCAACTTGAGCTTTCCCTTCATTCGGGTTTGTCCACATAAACTAGCTGAACATAAAAGTTTTGGTCAGTGCTACAAATCAATAATCATGTGCCCTTTCTGTCTTTTGCAGCTGGCCTTGTCTCCATCAAGTAAGTCTATCATCATCGACTTCGTTCATGGTTTCCCCACACGACTCGTTTCAGTGTTTCAATATTGACTCTTTGGCGAAAAGGAACATCTAAAGACGTACATTTTTTTTCCCTACAGACAAGTCATTGAATAGACATAAGTGAACGTCGCCAACAATCACTTTCCACTGAAGTCCTCTTGAGTGTCAGTAGCGTGCTCGCGAACTCTTGCCGACTCTCTAAACAAATCAAGAATATAATTCTAGTGTTTACCTGACACACACATTTTTAATTACATGATAAGACTTTTTTTTTTTTTTTTTTTTTTGGGCGGGGGTTAAAGTCCCGGTCCTAACTCTCTGATAATGGTATGTTGATCTAAACTTAGTGCTCATTACATTTGCGTGTGATGTCACCTAAGACGACCCAGTACAGCTTAAACATACTAAAGCTTTTAATGCTTCTGTTTACCACTTCTTTCTCTGCGGCACACTTCAGCTGGATTTAGACTGCATGGTTCAAGCGACACGGAATGGGAAACACTGTTGACTGACGGATAACCGCTGTGTTAGAACATTTTTAAGCAACGGCAATTTGAACACAAATGGTGGAACAACATGTGTAGATAGATAATAGAACAATACTTGCAGAGTCGCGGATATATTCTTTATCCTCTGCAAAAAAAAAAACAGTCTCAATATACTGCCCCCAGGTGGCTAATGTGTGCCTACCAGAAGGAGCGACACTATGTCGATTGAATTGTCATAAAAATGTGGCTAAACTGTAATTCATTGCATTCTACTGATGTCATTACTCCTCGGGGGCTGAAACAGATTAACGGCATTTCCAAGACAGACTGGTTATTCCATGTGTTCTGTACACTTAAACGGCCATGTTGTATTTGTCACTTGAAATCTACATGGAAATAGTTACTACAAAAAAAAATCTGATATAGGCATCAAATGGAAGTGGGCGCTTGAACCTGCCGTGACAATTACAGGCTGTCTTAGCTTGAACTTTGTTGACGTATCATACGTCCGCTTCATTCTGTAACAAACTAATCATTTCAATTCCCTCTGCTGCTCTGTTCAGTGGTTGGAGACGAGACCCAGCAGACCACAGTGTCCTGTGTGTAAAGCCGGCATCAGCAGGGACAAGGTCATCCCGCTGTATGGAAGAGGGAGTTCCAGTCAAGACGACCCCCGGTGCGCCCTGTACCCTGCAAACTGCATGTGTATGTGTGGTGGTCTGACAGTGTCCTTGTGAGTGATTGTTTGTGTTGGACTCCAGGTTGAAAACTCCCCCACGGCCTCAGGGACAGAGAACTGAGCCAGAAAGCAGAGGCGTCTCTCATGTATCAGCCAATATTTCATTCCTTGATGTTTCGTTCATTTTACCTCGGCAGGAAGTGAAAACTGAATGTGGCTCGACTCCAAACGGGGCTCCTCTCACTTCAATGTAGTTGGTGGTGCCAAAGCATTCTTGGTACATTAGACACGGCTTTGGCTTGAGCACAAAAACAATTGAGGGGTGAACTCACTTTTGTGAGAGTGCGCAAATATCCGTTCACGAAAGCAACACTGACACCTAGTGGACAACTCTTGCATAAAACGACCATGTGAAAATGCCTGCAACGCATTCTCTATATTTGCGTTCTGAGTTGTTTCCACCATTTCAAAGTGACTTACGCTTTTCAGATGTTCCAGGGTTTCAGCGACACCAGTTTTCACATGTCGTTTGGCATCGGCGCGTTCCCCTTCGGCTTCTTCACGACCGTCTTCAACGGCAACGACCCTTTTCACCGGGCAGGTAGTTTCAGCAGTTGATAAAAGATGTTTTCGATTAATGTGCCTGTAAAATTGATTGCAGTGTAACTTTAAAGCACCTGTCTCCCGCATCCCCCTCCCTCGTGTACTTCCAGACCAATACGCAGGTGAAGCCCAAGGCAACGGCGGTCACGTCAACAACGGGAATCATAATTGGCAAGATTGCCTCTTCCTGTTCGTGGCCGTTTTCTTTTTCTTCTGGCTGCTGAGCGTGTGACGAAGACGCCGAGCGGCTAAGACGGACGGACTGACAAGAGGGGAAGGGATGGGGCTCGCTCGCTGAGAATTGCACACCTAACCTGAGCCACATACGCATTCGTGTTTTGTTTCCGATGAGGTAATAACTTGGGAGAGCAGTTGTTTGCAAAAAAAAAAAAAAAAAAGTCACATCAAGCCCTGCCAAACTGCCTTTTGTCAATATGAAACAGTAAAAAGCAGCTGTTGAATTGGCCTCCCGCCCGACACACAACATCACCACCTCAACACACAACATCACCACCTCAACATACAGCCGCAGATATTCGCTCACAGATACAAGGGCGGCAATAAACTACAATGGGCTCGATGTAAGATAAATTAGTCTTGTCTTTAAGGGGTCAGCAGAGATAGTATCATGTGACAAGGAGGACCAGGCCTTTCTCCGAGTGTAGTGACTGTAATTCATCCCCCCCAAGCTGAGAACAGTGGGAGAGTCGCGGCGGACAAGGAGAGCTAACACCGGTGGTAACCATAACAACCGTTTTTCTTGCCTCTAAAAGGCCAAAGAGTAGCAGTTTGGTTCTGAGTAATTGGGTTTGTGTGTATGTTTAACTCAATTTGTCTTAAAAATGACTGCCAGTGCACTGTGATGTCATTTGAACATGTTCTCAATCACTTTTTTTTTTTTTTTGTAGCAAAGCTTCCCAAAATAAGAACAGGAATTGAAGAGTACAAAAAGCGAAATCTCAATGAACCATATTGGGAAAATGATTTCACTTAATTACCAAGCACTCTCTGCAGTTCAGTGAACTGTGCTTTTTTTGGGATCTCGACTACAAACCGCATCCTGTATTGTCCGAGCGAGCGATGCATTTGTATATAGATTTGTACATTTTTTTTTTTTTTGGTTTTTGTTATTTTAAATTCATTTTTAGTTATGACACTGATAACCAGGATGCTTTTTGTAAATTTTGCCTCCCAAGGTTAACACATCTTCTGGGCAGTGTTTACCATTAAAAAAAAACAAAAAAGCAAAGCTGGAGCTTGTATTCCGACTGATTACTGATCCTCTTTGGGATGACACGGGCGCTAATTTTGGGTCGCATATTTGTCTTGGTTATTTACAAAGGCTAATGTGAGAAGCAAGACATGAAAATTTCCATTAAAAGCACCACCATGAAGCTGTCATACTAATGTTCATAATTGTATCTTTTTTGTGAAATATGCTCAACTTAAAACAATGTATTTGTACAAAATTAATCATGAAAGGTTGACCAACTCATTTCGATCTGGTACGTTCCAATTATGCACTAGCTATGACATTAATCAGGGCAAGCCTCGCTTGTGTTAAAAAATTATTTGTCAATGGTCTAATTGGCGAACTACAAGTTAAGACTATATAAAAAAAAATCGGTAGTGATTTTGGCATATTTTTCTTTGTTTTTGCTAAGAGTAAGCTATACTCTTGTCAACACTGCATTAGGTGCACCTGCTCATGAGATCCAAAATGGACTTTAATGCCATCACCAGTGTTGAGAAAACAAATGCAATGGGTTGGTACAATTTTGAACACCAACTATTTTTTTAATGACAAAATTACAATAGTTAGATGGTCAAGTGCATAAACGTCTAAAAAATACATTTTCATACAAAGAAAACACGTTGAGGTCCTCTATGTAATATTTGCAGCAGGTAAAATATTTATAGGGATAACAAAATAATTTTTCTGAGCCAACTTGCGTGAACAAAAGATGCAGTCACTCAAGAAAACTCACATCAACAGGCTCAGTCTTTTCCTACGTACGATACAGTCCCAAACATTAATATTGAAGCTTTGAAAAATAATTCAAACGTGCAAAATCAGCATTTTGGTTTTTTTTGGTAAACATGATAGCAGAACAGTCTGGAATCATTACTTATCCTCATTGGCGCCGTGATAACAAGATCACTTCTTTTTTTTGGGCATCTTGTTGCTTTTGTTCAGAACTTTCATGAGGTTTTTGGACATGAAGTACGGCTTCTCCAGAGAGCCGTCATTGCGTTCCAAGTCCTCCACTGCGAACAGTTCACGCAATGTTAAATAATCGCACTCGCTTGTTTACACTCGAACTTAACATGAGCTTAGAATTGTTTCCTAAATACGGCTAAGGACGCTTTTGTCGTCTTGTACTCACAGAAGCAGAGGAAGAGCGTGTCGACACACATGCTGTACACGCTGAAGAATCCGTGAGCGATGAGGTAGCTGCCAATCACAACTGTCTAGGATGGTTACATTTGGAGAAAAAAAAAACATCACGACACTGAATGACTTTTGTTTGCATGGGTGAGAGGATGAAATGAACACATTCAGTCATACAATGATTGGCGTCCAGTAATAGTTGAGCGTCTCCGACTGCGCCGCGCTGTGTGGTAGAGGAATTCGGCCGGAGAAGAAATAAAAGGACAACACGCCTGCAAGAAAAAGCTTGGTGTCACCGCTCGGCTCGTTCTGGATGTTTGTCATTCAAAATGTGCAATGGAAATCCTGAAGGCATTAAAGGTGTCATTCATACCCACTCCACCCACTACTAGGAGCTCCCCAAAGAACAGCAACAGGTCGGTCACTTTATCCAGTATTACAGTTCTGTAAGGCACAAGTATACCTTATCTATGGTTCCATATCACATTTTCAATTCATAATTGGGCTTTTCAATTGCATTTTGTAACGGGTGGGCAAAGCAGATTTATCGTAAGTTGCAACCATAAACAAACACGAAGATAAAAAAAAAATGAGCATCAACTTTTTCAGTTTAACAATCATTTCTAACCTGTCCCATTTTAAAAAACAAACATGCCCACAAACCTTATTATGTTTCTCATGATCAGCGAGAAAGCTTTCTTGGCTGAAGTACAGAAGTTTTTCCCATAAACAGCAATCTGTCCAAAATGCACGAGTTTGACAAAAATATACAGTACAAAATGCGATAGATACATGTCGTGTGTGGACATGACACGATTACTTACACCCGATGAGCTTACCATGATGTATGCGTTCCGATTGAGAAACTTAATGAACTTCTCGAGGCACCAGAGGCAGCACTTCATGCAGCACAGTATGAAACGTGCACACGCGTTTTGTGCCGCTGGGTGGGAGTTGATGAGACAAAAGAATATGAGAAATCTCAATAATTAAATAAAAACAGTACTGTATTTGGGGGGGGATTGTAACATCAGCTCATTAGGTGAGAGGCCTTACTCCTGGTTTTGTGGTCAATGTATTCCAGGAGGATCCTCACAGCCTGCACTAAGGTCAGGATCAAAGCACCGAATGCCAATGAGCCCACATGGTACCTGAAATTATTTACGGTCGGTTTTTGAAAGAACCTTGATCAAATCTATTGTCATGTTAAGATTAAGATACTGCATTTTTTACAAAGCCGTCCACTTCCTATCGCACTTGCTAAAACCCATTTAAGATCTTTGGCGCCAACTAAAGGACATATCGTAAACTGCAGCAAAATGTTGACCATTTCAAGCACATTCACACTTGGAGCACAAACATCGACCTCACCTTAGTGTGCGCACAAAGGCACTGGACAGGGGGGCCATGGGGATGTCGTCCGGTTTGTTGAAAGCCCAGTAGTAGGCGGCAAAGGCGCCGGCTAGCGTGCACTGGCCCAGCGCGATGACAAAATTGACACACCAGAGAAAAGCCAACACGTTGTAGATTTGAAGGTTGAACAGGTTCCTCTGGAGGAGGCCCTCCGTGTTGTATTTGACAAAGATGCATGCAGCGGAGGGGCAGGTCGGGTAATCGGATGCCTTGAAGGTCTACAGCGGTTAGAACAGTGAGACAATCAATGTTGAAAATGTAGCTACTTTCCAGTCAAAAAAAAATAAATAAAATCAAGTGGAAGCCATTCAAAGCGATAAAGGCTCCCACACAATGGAGGGCCAAAATTCAGGTGGCCAGACATTCACCTGAGGGTTGCAGTCCACGGTGCCGTTGATGCGCCGACACTCACTCATACTTGAGTTGAGAGCCACCACTTTGTAGATGGCCCCTCCTGAGGTGGCCAAATACCTGTATCGACGAGCTCAGGTGAAACAAAGGTGCCGTGTGCTGGTCCATATTTGACATGAGTTCCGTAACCTCTTTGTGAACGCTCACAACGAAAGGATACAACGCAGTGCTAGCCCAGTAGGCCACACAGACCAAGAGGAGAACAAATGTCAACAGAGGGTAGAAGAGGGTGCTCATCATTTGACCGACGGCCCTGGTGAACAGCTGCGCGTTATTAAGACGAAGACGCAAGTTGCCCAACATACCAAATATACAAAATGAATCTATTAAATTGCATCACGGCGCGACTGACTTGCTGGCCTCTCGGATGAGTGCGATGGCGATGAGGATTCTGTTTCGCAGGAAGATGAGGATTAAGATCAGGATGGCTTCCACCACGCAGAGGATGATCACTGGGGAGGCAACAGAAGGAGCAGAAAAAAAAAAAGAATACAGGATTAGAGAATTAAGATCAAGGGAGATAAAATGCCTTTTTCTCATTTTTGACAGGATTCAGAATGTGTGTTCATATGTGCTAAAATGGTTGCGTCAACTCACAGAAAGCTAACCAGGTCTCTTGCACTTTTAGGTAAAAACTAACGTTGGTGGTGAATCCAATGTCGGTAATGGAGGCGGAGAGACTCTTGTAATTAGCGTACTGCCAGTAGCAGTGCCAAATCCCTGAAAGGAAATGAAACAAATCTGGGAAGATGTATTGTACGCGTGCAAGGCAAATCAAACAAAGGCTCCAAAACAATCAGAGCCCAATAAAAGACATTTTGTATGGTGCTGAGTTGTGTTTGCCGAACTTCCTATTTCAAGCACCAGTAAAGAAATAAATCCAAAGCTGAATTCATCTTCACCAAAAGCCCCGGTGCACAGGACGGCGACGATAAGGAGCCACACCACAACGCCAGCGATGAATCTCAGCAGCAGCAGGAACAACATACTGAGCACCATGGCGATTGCCAGACCACTGTTGTGGAAAACAAATGGAAACATTTTTCAAGAAATATGACAATCAAGTGAACAGGAGACTAGAGAGAAAGAAGAGAGGAGAATACAAGATTTATTCACGCTGACATGCAATTGTTAAAAAACAAAAAAAAGAAAATTAGCGTGAGAGTCCATGTGCCTTCAATGTAATCAAGAACTTATCATAAAAAGATGTAAAGGTGATCATTGATACTGAAATTTTGTTTTTTTGTTCTATGTACAGTATTAATCAAAAAGTGGAAGTGTGAGGCATCAACTAACGTAAGGATCCAGGGCCACGATGACGCAAAATCCTCAAAGATCCTGACGCCGATGTCCCTGGCACTCAAGCCGTTCAAAATGTCCCTGAGCAAGACAAAAAAAAAAACAAAAAAACAATGCAAAAGTCAGTTGTACGTCGTGACAGCAATTCATAAAAAAGTATGCTATGACCTATTAAAATTGATGCAGCGGTGAAGAAAAAGACATGATTGCAAGGCACTGAATTTGGATTCATCATCACAAGAAAGTCTAAATTCAGATATCTCTTTACTCGGTCTCCGTTTGAATGCATTTTGGGTGGATTTTCTTTCCACTGCATCGCTGTTAACATCCAAACCAAGACTGAACAGACATGCAAGAATAAAAAAAAAAAAAAAATGAGTACATCTCAATATCACGCAGCTGACTCATGCACAGCAACAGGAGTAAACCACCAGATTCTACTCTAAGGCTCGACACACTTACGAGGCAACTGACCCTGTGCTGGTGATGAGGACAAGAAGAAGATTACTACAGTTTTGCTTTCATTTGGAGTGTGGTTCATAAATGTTAAAAAATTGTCTTTTTTTTTTTTAAGTAACATCACAAAGCACCATGTCATTTATTTTTTAATTCCATTCATTGGCTCTACCCAGTGCCGTTCATGAGGAGGTTGGCCGTTTCGCTGACAGATGGTGGCAAGCCTGGATTGTTGGAAAAATCCGGTGGCATATTCCCAAGAAGGCTGACGTCGGGCAAACATCGTCCAATAACTACAAAAGACAAGTTGCAATGAGTTACGTTTTGAGTTCTGCGCATTAGAAGGCAATCGTTAAATATTAGAACGAAAAAAGGAAATCCATTGCAAACTCCATACGTCAAAGAATCTGTTCTGGGAAGCTATTAGACCTCATGTTTGTTTTTCTTTTGCTACCCCCAAAATAACTAAAATAGAAATAATGCATTCCAGAGCCAATCGGTCACAATCATAAAATCGGTGTCGGTCAACAAGTGAGCTGGTTGGACGTTTTGCGTGACCAAAATTAAGAGCGATGACATACAGCAAATTTCCACTCACCAGAGGTTGTGGGAATAGTATAGAAAGGACACAGCTCTTTTTCCACGATCTCTTTGACAGTCTAAAAAATAAAGATTTAAAAGATTACAATTGAAGTCCTGGCAACTGAAATCAAGCGTGCAAAGAGATATATTGCACAAACAGTATTTGTGCTGAAACGGACATAAAAACTTACCATGTCAGTGTGTGACAGGTTTAAAGATGGCGCACAGAGGCTTTGCTTGAAAACATTTGTGGGCTTTACGTTTGGAGCGTAGTCAAGCGGACTCACGGCAGTGAAGTCAGTCGGGCACTTTTCCACACATATCTGGTGGGGGAGGTAAGCGGCGGAGAAAGGAGGAAAGCGCGGCAAAAAGTCATCAGAATGAAGTCACATTGTCCACGTGCAAACCGTCGTACCTGCGTGGTTGGACACTGAAACCCATTGAGAGCTGCTGCCATCACGTTAAAACCCGTCGCACATTTGACAATGTCCAAGTAGAAGAGTGCAGGTCGGTTTCTGAGAGACAACGGCAGAAGGGGACAAATATGACATGACGTAGCAGTGGTGGTCTTGCGATACTTTGTGTTCTGCGATTGGTGCAAATGAAATGTAATCACATATTTGGTCCGGTGCCACAGAACCATCCAGTTGAGTTTTTGGGATAGAGAACTTGGCGGGGATCTCCGTAAAGCCATGCTGACAAAGGGACACAAACACACACACACACACACACACACACACACACACACACACACACAAAAGATGAAACCAAATGGCATAAATAACAAATAACAAAAAAAAAAATGTACAGGTATTGATTGTGCTTATTTCATCCTGTGGGCAACAATGCGTTAAACACAATAACATTTGTTAAGGTCGAATAATGTCCACTATGTTGGTTACTTTGAAATAAAAAAAAATTAGGGGAGTATCTTTGTTTACGAGTTCTGTTCCTACACTGGTGTGGTAGATCAAATTTTTCGAACCTACGCGAGTTAAGTAAATAAAAAGCAATGAAATTAAACATTCAGTATGGACATCACCAAGCTTCCATCTTGTGTCGTGTGATTTCCCGTATTACATCACTCTGTCTTTTTGGGTAGGCAATTTTCAGTGTGGCACATCAAGATTTCGTTGCGCAAATCTGTCCGATTGTCCTGTGAACAGCCCACTTGGCAGCCTCCCTCATCAGGTGTGTTCCTAAAAGCCTTCCATTTTTTTAAAAGCTCACAGCGTGCCTTCAAATCCGATGCGCCTTGTGTATAGTCATTACGGTAATGTCGCCCCCAAAATGGCTCCTTGCTAGAGACGTGCTTACAACGCAGAGTTCAAACTTAAGGTGATCAAGTTCCGCAGTTGAACACGGAAATAGAGCAGCTGCAAGAGAGTTCAACATTAACGAGTCAATGTTATAACTTGCTGTTGGTTAAGTGAACTGTGTCGCTGCTTTATGAAATAAGTTTGACTAACATTTGATCGTTCTGTAACAACGCCACTCAACAGCTAAGCTATCTTAGCTGTTGTCGTTTGTTCAAAGCTTCTTTGATCTGTGACGTGGGTTGCGTCAGCGCTGATTGGTTGAACCACGTGCTCGAGAGCAGCGGACTATGGACTGCTGAGGCTCGCTTCACTCGAGTGGCGTTGCTACAGTCCTGTTCCTTGAGCGTAGCTCTATCTAGTGGATGCATTGTAGATTGCGTCTTATAGTGCGGTGCGTCCAATACATGAAAAAAATGACAAAATAGGCCATTCATTGAAGGGGCGCCTCATAATCCAGTGTGCCTTTTAGTGTGGAAAATACGGTAATAGTAGAAAAGGTTTTAATATGGTTTATCTTGTGTTCCCCTTATAAATCAGATTTTATAACCATTGACAGGTAACTATGCAGGTAGGTTAAAGTAATTCCTTGGCTGTTACAAGAGTTTCACACTTTTACAGAGGAGTGTCAGTTAAGTTTCTGCCATGGTCAGTAAAAAAACAAAACAAAAAAAAAAAAGACTTGGACAGCACCCAATGACGCATCTTAATGAGTTTCCATTGAGCCGCCTGCACACAGGCTTTGTATTGACTTAAGATAAGGAAGTGGGTGCCGTGTGTTGGAATGAGTTTTATCTTGTATTTGTTTTGACTTTTTGGTTAGTTATACATTCGGCGTATAGAGCTGTATTATGTGAGTATTGATGCTGTGACATTTTCATTTGTACGTCGTTGATTGTTCCATCATTTCTAAAAATATACTGTATATTCCGCTCCCCACCAAAAAAAGTTATGCGCACACGGTGCTTTTCCGCTCGGTCTCTCACGTTTGAAAAACTCCACTGTGGTTACCCAGATTTGGATCAACGTTGTTATTCACACAAAAAATAAAAAATAAAAAAATGAATGGGGTGAATCAAGTAATAAAATTACGTAAAAGCGGAACTAAAAAAAATTAAAAAAGGAACTCATTGTGAGGTCTAATTCCATGTTAGCATTAGTTAGTCCCCGCCCCCAAGGCACTGTTGCCACTTCACCACTGTGCTTTAATGCAGCTTCAAAGGTCAACATGGAAATTTACGAGCAAACCTGCATGTCCCTACTTCTATGTTGTGAAATCTTAAACAATAAAAGAAGAGAAACAACAGAGGGGTTTACAGAGGTCAAACTTGGAAATGGGGGAGATCACATCTGTCTGCTTACGCTCACCTACAATCCCGACTGCGATGTAGCCGAGGAGGACCGTCATAAACACCACGCAGCAAATTATGTCAGTGCACCCTCTGGGGGAGAGCAAATGAGCAAAAGTCGTAAGAGAGCTGCGTGGACTTTACGCAGAGGTTTGTCTTCAATGTGAGTCGGTCACCTCTTCTTTATGGGTCCATCAAAGGATGGGTCATACTCGACAGGTTCACCTAGACGCCCCCCAAAAAAGGAAGAAAATTGATGATGTGAAGATTTTCAATCCCACACAGAAAATAATGTGCACATCATGTTATTAAACAATGCAAAGTCTGGTGTTCATTTGAAGTTAATGAATTACTGTGCCAAAGGCAAATGCCGGAACTATTTCTATGAGCTAACAAGTGTTGTAAATATGTTTCGGACAGGGTGGTGGTGTTCCGGGGAGGAAAAAAAAAGATTTTGTTTCCTGGAACAAAAAGAATGACTGACTACAACAATAGCTTTTATGTAAAAAAACAAAAAAATATCTCTTATACTTAGACAACATTCAGGGTTACTAGAAAAAAAAAACTACTTGCCACACATGTGAAGGGAAGCAGCTGCACTCTCTTTATTTGAATGTCATTTGAATTCACAAAGCTGCTTTTGTTTTGCTTTCGGAAAACTCCAACTAGACAGCGTGGGACCAAAATTGAACCCCTAAAAACTCGGGAGGTTCAAACAAAATGTTTGGGGAAAAATATGCCTTAATGTAATTATGTGTCGTCTGCATATTACGCCAGGTATCCGGTTCATTTCTCTGGGTGCATATTTCAGATATAGACTGCTTCATTTACTTCTCCCATGAGCAAAGAGCTAGCGAGCCACCACATGTTTGTCACATTCTGGATATTATCATTATTATTAGAGCCGTTAACATATAGTAACTAAAACGAAAATGAGTAAGCAGGTCGAAAAGGTTCTACGATGGCATCCAAATGTAATTAATGTCAAAAGCAAATGGCGTCTGATATCAGAACAAATTAGAGCTCAACAAGCCTCTCAGATTGTGTTCTACTTTCGACGGTCCATTGTCATGGAAACAAGACCATAAAACTTGTTTGGCTATACTGCAAAGGAATATATTGCGTTGACAAATAAGAAGTGACAAAAAGAAGCATCATGAAATGCCCGGAACAAAGGAACCTGTTCATCGGCCTCCTCAAGTGTCAAATTTCACAATACTGTTTGCAGTAAACGGCGAATCGTAAAAAAAAGGTTCATGGTGACTCCATTTCAAGCCATCTCAGTTTTATAACGTTTTTATAACTTGGGCTCATACAGAAGAGAAAATGGGCAAGTAGTTTTCCCGAGTTATCTCATGACTCAGCTTCATGCGTGCGATCAGAACAACACACTCATAAAAAGTAAAATGGGTCATTTACAGGGTATAGCTCCGACCCCAATAGATAAAGAAACGCTTTTCTTTTTGATTATGCGTCAGCCTTTCCTAAGATTAAAAATGATGCTCAAGTCTCCAATGATTTGATAAATACAAAAACTGCCAATTTAAATTGTCACAATTAGGTCTGACAAAGTCACCGCTTGAAAATTTTCACAAACATCCTCATCTTATGGTGTTTTTGTATCGGATTTGAAGACATGAAACAGAATCCGAATCTGTATTTACCTCCAGGGAGGGTTTATTGACTGTTGTACCTCCCATTCTGTCAATACACTTACCTGTGGTTCCATCAATAGAACAAACATCGAGTCGGAGAATTCAGTGCCATGCAAACCTTTTGTAAAACTGCATCGCCAGTGCGAAGGAATGTTCTCTTGAGCAAAAAATTAAAATGAATGGAAAACTCTTGATTATTATTAAGGGAGATCATCTTATGGTGTTTTTGTATCGGATTTGAAGACATGAAACAGAATCCGAATCTGTATTTACCTCCAGGGAGGGTTTATTGACTGTTGTACCTCCCATTCTGTCAATACACTTACTTGTGGCTCCATCAATAGAACAAACGTCGAGTAGGAGAATTCAGTGCCATGCAAACCTTTTGGAAAACTGCATCGCCAGTGCGAAGGAATGTTCTTGAGCAAAAAATTAAAATGAATAGAAAACTCTTGATTATTATTAAGGGAGGTAAAACACTTTTCTCATTTTCTGATTTATATTTTTGAAACAGTAACTCATTCTACCCTCTATGAGTACATGTATGACGCCTCGACTTGCGTACACATTGGGGTTGCTTCACTGGCGTCGTTAACCGAGGACTGCCTGTACTGCATTCAGACGATGACGAGATGAGTTTTAAATACATGGAGATTCGAAGGTAAAAGTAAAGACTTCTCAAATTATACGTTAAGCTTTTTTGTATTGGTGGATATATGGTCCCTTATTCCCCCAAAGTGAAGCACGTCAACAAAAATTGACTCCCGAGGTAACCTAACGGGTGAGGGTGACTTGGCAACTCACCATACTGAGATTCCGGATTTGCCTGCTTTTCCTTGCCCATTTTCCACCTCGACCGCCACCTCCCCTTCCTTGGCTTGTCACTAACAGCTCACTTTACTTCCAAATTAGCCCTGTCGTCCTAAACGAAGAGAACAACAAAAGCTTTTAAGAGGCCACAGTGGAGTGAATCTTTTCCCCGCAGTCAGTTGTTACTAAGCAGTGACGACAAGAGCGCACCTGCTTAGGGACGTGCACCGGAAGTGTCCAGGTGCACTCGCCTCTTCAGAGGCGGGAAAATATATATCTATATAAATATTTTTTTTTTAGTCCAGACTTGGCAACTCACCATACTGAGATTCCGGATTTGCCTGCTTTTCCTTGCCCATTTTCCACCTCGACCGCCACCTCCCCTTCCTTGGCTTGTCACTAACAGCTCACTTGACTTCCAAATTAGCCCAGTCGTCCTAAACGAAGAGAACAACAAAAGCTTTTAAGAGGCCACAGTGGAGTGAATCTTTTCCCCGCAGTCGGTTGTTACTAAGCAGTGACGACAAGAGCGCACCTGTTTAGGGACGTGCACCGGAAGTGTCCAGGTGCACTCGCCTCTTCGGAGGCGGGAAAATATATACTGTATCTATATAAATATTTTTTTTAGTCCCTGATTTTATGTCATCTTGGTTTTAACTCTGGCCAGAAAAATGTGCTAGTAGTGGTGTTTCATTGTGCGTTCACGTGAATTATGTCATCTTGGAACATAAGATTCCTTGGCCATTTGGAAACAACGGAGTGATGCTTCACAATGGCGACGTCATCTTTATACGTATGGTGCTATTGTTAGCTTACTTCTCTCGCCAGCCTTGGCCATTTGGAAACAACGGAGTGATGCTTCACGACAATGGCGACGTCATCTTTATACGTACGGTGCTATTGTTAGCTTACTTCTCTAGCCATGGCTAAGCATTTTATGTTACTCCACTAGACTTTATTCGAGCATAAAGAATCGTCTTTCCCCAATATTTAAGTGTGGTTCCTCACTTGTCTGATGTCTAGGCTTTATAGCCAGCTACATCTGTACAAATATCCAAACACAAATAGGACTAGTTTGTTTTTTTTTAACAGTAGAAACAATATAAACTTATTTGTTTTTGTTCGGTGAAATTGTTGGAGTGCCACCATTCTTTCTTAGGGGGAGTCTCAACCTAAGTAAGATTGGGAGCACCTTTTAATTTACTTGAGGCACTGGGTAGTTACAAGATATAACAGGATACAATGATGGAAGGATTCAATGTGAAAAAATGTTCTTCAAATTTATTATTTCAAATAAGGTATAAAAAACAAACAACAACAAAAGACAGATGTAAAAACGCAACACAAATGGATGTGCTATGCCTGCAATACATGCTACGTCATTGGATTTCTGGCTTCCCAGAGTGTGTAGAAAAAAGCAGTTTCTTGGCACCAACAGTAAATATACAGTATGGGTTACATAATGGCAGATTAATGCTGAAATCGGTTTTGTCAAATATACAATGTTTAACAACCAGCATAGAGTATTTAAACAATAATGACATTTCAAGACAACTGTTTCATGTTGTCTTAGCATCAAGGAAATGATCGCTGACTTTGCAATTCAGTCTGTGGTTTGGTGGCGAAAATATATAACTGACACTGAAAAAAGTAAAAAGCACCGGACATTAGACAAATGCCTATTTCTGCTATTAAATGATGGGAATGGTCAACCCGCAGTCTGCTCCCGACTCAGGACTGGCCTCCAGTCGAGCCAGTCTGCTCTGCTCCAAAGCAATGGCCTCTGCAGAGTGTTTGCATTTCTCTGAGCCACATTGGCAGGTAAAGTATTTGCTCTTAATGTCCCAAAAGCGATCTCCATAGTCAAACCTATGAGAAAATACACATTTATTATGTTAATATACTGGAAGATGGAAGATGCTACAGAGAAATTTCGACAATGCTGGAACGGTGGTGTCATGAAGTAAATAGCAGCTGTAATGGTGACAAAAATCTCCACACATCTCACCCAAGTTCCTGACCGCTAAGGATGTCTCTGGAGCTGAAGAAGGCAATGCGTGGAAATCTCAGGTCCTGGTGCAGCATGAACACACGCACGGGGATGAGGTTTGGGTCACAAAGGTGGTTGACGAAGCGGCTGATGTTCCCGTAGTAACGGGCATCAATGCAGTACACCTCCCCGTCCTTCAGAGAAAACGCAGGATGTGTTAAGACATCAATTGAGCAGCATAACTTGTGGGATTTATTGTTACCTTATTGTCCAGGTCAAAAAGGTAGGAGTCATCCTCTCTAACGTCTGCTTCTGCGTCTGAGATGAGCTCCCCCACGTATCTGCATGGGATAAAGCTGGTTTAACATCAAAGCATCGGTGGTCAAAACACATAAGGGAGCGGCCGGTCCCCTCTTACTCGCAGATGAAGCTTCCCTGGGGAATGTCTTGCAACGCTCGAACGCCCCAGCCCATCTTCTCTGTCCTGTAGAGTTGAAGGCGAACTCTGAGAGAAGGAGTGGAACATTTCAGAAGGTTTAGTTCAGTGGACTGAATAGGAGTCAAATAACAATGTCAGAAAAATGACAGAATTAACAGCGGTATATTTTCAACACCCCAAATTCCTCTAATACAAGTGCAGGGTCAATATTTGCTCCAGTACTATATAAAAAAAAAAAAAAAAGAATTGTTGACCTTTAAAGTTAGTTAAGAAGGCAAGCAACCAGTATGATGTGTATACATATGCAAAACTTACTTGATGCCAGTCTGTACCACCCTGTTCTTGCATGAACGGTGACAAGAACAGGCCATGTTGCATTCGAAAATTAGGGGCGGTTCGATCTTATTAAACTCTTGAAGCAACCGTTGATCCTGCCCAAAAAATAAATAAATAAATAAATAAAGGTGCCAATCGTTTTGGATCTCAAACCAAATATGTTTCGGTTTTGGTTTACCTTGTCATACCAGCAGCGGATGCTGAGCTGTCCACAGAGGCAGTTACTAGAGGAGCAGTCATCAGTGCATCCACAGTGCTGGGGAAAAGTGTGACAAGTGTCGTCATACAGCGTAGCTTCTTTGGGAGAGAATAGCGGTTAAAAAATAATAATTTAAAATCGTACCTGTAAATGTGTAATGTTACGGTCTATGTTCATTGCTGACGTTTCACAGTTTTCTGAAACGTATTTGTAGTCTGAAGGACAGCCTTCATCATCTACTGCATTTACACATGGAATGGGTGCGTTCTCATAGCCCTGGGCAATGTCACTAGGACAAAAAAAAAAAGAACACAAGCAGTGTTGACTGGTTAATAGCTTGCATTTTGTATTCAATACAGATCAGTGTTTCAATGTGTATACATTCTAATCTGTCGGTAGTGTGCCGGTCTGACACAAAATATATTATAATTCTTGCTTAATTTGCCACTTCAGATACATCTTTTGTAAAACACTGTCTGAAAAAAAATATGCAGTTAGAGGAGCCGACATCAGAAAAAGAGATGAATGACATTTCCAAGGTATGAAGCCCATTTTGAATGTCAACAGGACCAACCTGCAGATAATTCTTTCTGTCCTAAGCATGCGATTGGTTATTCCCCTTCGTATCTTCCTGTTGATCTGGAGCGCAACCCATACCGGCGTGTCGGGGCGCGCAAGGGTGAGCGGTGTGTCTCCCTCCCTGTTAATCGTGTCGATATCTGCACCTCTCGAGAGAAACAAGCTAAAGTGAAAGCACACAAAGGTCACAATTATTTCTTTTTAAAAGGCATGTCATCAGGTAACTTTACAACTTAGTCAAAGTGTTTCGATGATTTAGCAGAGTAATGTTGCTAAAACCCGACTCACGTAACACATTCCAAGTAGCCTTCTGGGGAAAAGAGAATATTTTAAGCTGAACAGTCTCTCTTTTTTTTTCTTTTTTAAATTGTTGTCGGGGTTCTGTTCTGCTTGGCTCTTTGACAATTGTCAGGATGAAGACTAGCATCTCTCCAACCACAACTTGAAATTTGTTTGGTTCTCAAAGGACTGAGACTTGTTAATTCAAACAAGGAAGGTACAGTACAGTGTGAACGTCTTTTCGAATAGCAAAAAGAGTAAATGTTAGGGGCAGGTATTGGTGTTAGCAATGATGTACATCCAAATTGGAGCATGTGAACCATGCAGTATAAATATGTTTAACTTCCTTGTTCAACACCATCTCTGCAATGTCCACATTTCCTGCATAAGCTGCCCAGTGTAGACATACATTCAACTCCTAAGGGGGAAAAGATAAGATTTTAAGCTGAACAGTCTCTCTTTTTTTTTCTTTTTTAAATTGTTGTCGGGGTTCTGTTCTGCTTGGCTCTTTGACAATTGTCAGGATGAAGACTAGCATCTCTCCAACCACAACTTGAAATTTGTTTGGTTCTCAAAGGACTGAGACTTGTTAATTCAAACAAGGAAGGTACAGTACAGTGTGAACGTCTTTTCAAATAGCAAAAAGAGTAAATGTTCGGGGCAGGTATTGGTGTTAGCAATGATGTACATCCAAATTGGAGCATGTGAACCATGCAGTATAAATATGTTTAACTTCCTTCTACGGGACACGTAGCAGGAAGTTTTTGTTGTATCCTGATAAGCGATCACCTTGTCATTGATGGTAACGTCAGCTCCTCGGTTCAGCAGCACTTTGATCACCTCCACGTGTTTGTGTTCTGCAGCCCAGATGATTGGCGTCCAACCACCGCTATCCTGAGAGGAGCCACGAAAATGTTATCACCGTGGAGATTTTGCATGCACGGGTGACAGCGTGCATTGAGTGAGGAAGGTAAGACGTGTGTACTTTGGGAGGGGGAAGCTTTAAGAAAAAAAAAAAAAGTTACAAAAGTGGCTGTAGTGGAATGTCAATTTAATTCCTTCGAATGCCATTGGTAAATTTGAATGTAATAATTTGTTTTCTGATTGCACAATTAGTTAATGCTAAGACCGTCTATAATTCTGCTTTGAATGTTTTTTCAGAGAAAGACGGGAACAATTAGAGAACCGCTAAGTGTTTGGGATATGAGAATAGCTGAGTTTGAATGGATAAAGAAAAGTTTTGTCTGACAGGGTGTCATTACCATTAAGTGGGTGTTTCATATTTAAGGCGTAGAACTGTTTGAATTTGTTTTACTGCACCTATGACTGCATTAGCATAGTGTAGTGATTAACTACAATGTTTTCCAATTTACACGCAAATTCAGTTTATGACACCTTCATGGGAAAGGAACTCTGTCTTATGCTTTTGCACCTTTTTCTTTACCTGTGCATTTACATCCACCTGTCCCGTCTCCAGTAGTGTGTTGACAATTTCAAGGTTGCCCTGTTTGGCTGCATGGTGGAGGCCAGTATATCCATCCTCCTCCTGGGACAAAAAAAAAAAAAAAAAAAAAAAACAACCAAAAAAAAAAACTATGTTAAATAAATCTTGACTAGACATACGAACGTTTATATCGGACACGAAAAGATACACACAACATGATAGACGCAAGCCCCATTCTGGATCAGGTATCGAGCCACCTCTACATGATTGTTGACAATGGCTTCAAGAAGAGGCGTTCTCAGGTCCTTGTCCTGAGCATCAATTTGAGCACCCCCCTGTCAGTAAAAGATTATCACTTAGTTAATACACAACATGTAAAGTTAGGGCCACAAATATTTGGACATTGACCCCATTTTGAGCATTCCAGCTCTGCACAGCACCACTATGGATATAAAATGAAGCAATCAAGATGTGCTTGAAGTCCAGACTCTGAGCGTTAAATTCCAGGGTATTTACAAAAAACAAAACAAAACAAAACAAAAAAAAAACGCCACTTTGTGGTGAAAGGTAGAAAAACAGAGAGACAGATAAACAGATGGATAGCTAAATAATGGCCTCACACACTTGCAGAAGTATGTAGCAGACTTCCAAAAGACCTCTCTGAGCGGCCGCATGCAGAGCAGAGCGTCGATTCTGAGAGTCAGGCTGGTATGTGGGATCAATGCCCTCCACTTGGAGAAACACATAATGCACAAACTGTAACATCCACTTTTACAAAGAAGTATCCAAAACTACTGAAGAGGTTCAGTGTATGTTGACAGGATGATTTTCGACTTACTTAGCATGAGCAAAACTCTCTGGACTTCACCTTGTTTGACAGCAGGGTAAAGTTGTCGTGGGTGGAACCTCAGTTTCTTTCTCCTAGGAAGAAAAAAAAATGCCAACGTGAAAAATAAGCTTTCTACAACTTTAGCTGACAAAGAGTAATACTGTACTTGAGAGCAAACCTTTCGGTATCCTGTGTGAGAATCGCCTTTTGGAGCGCCGCCCTGCTGGGTCCTGGTGGAAGAGCACTGGGGGTGACTGGCTTCCCATTTGGCATACACACAGACGGCCCCACGCTGTCCACTCCCTCCTCAGGAGGCGGCACGGTGGCGGCGGATGCGGTTGAGGGCACAGGCGGTGGCGGCTGCTGTTGCTCCACTGTTAGAGGCGTCATTCCATGGCTGCGCATCCGTGCACTGGTGAAGGTAGTTGATGGTGAGAAGTACTGTATATATGAAAAGGATTTTTTAAATAAGTTTTCCCCCCCCCTTTTTCATTTAGTACCTTTTGATATTTTAAGATGTCAGAGACACCCATCATAGCATAATCATGTCTCACTAATAGTTGTGTTTATTTCCTTTTACTTCCTTCATCACTATTTATCGCTTTGCTGAGGAATGAGGTTGTCAAACAAATCTGTTTTGTGTTATTCTGGAAGTCCTAACTGTCAATTTTGGGGGCAGTTGGGAAGAGGCTTGAATCCGCTTTATCCTCACAAGGGTCGCGCGGGGTGCTGGATCCTATCCCAGCCGTCTTCGGGCAGTAGGCGGAGGACACCCTGAACCGGTTGCCAGCCAATCGCAGGGCACACAGAGACGAACAACCATCCGCGCTCACACTCACACCTAGGGACAATTTGGAGTGTTCAATCAGCCTGCCATGCATGTTTTTGGAATGTGGGAGGAAACCGGAGTGCGCGGAGAAAACCCACGCAGGCCCGGGGAGAACATGCAAACTCCACACAAGGAGGCTGAAGCTGGGATTGAATCCGGTACCTCTGCACTGTGAGGTCGACGCGCTAACCACCGGACCACTGGGCCGCCCACATTGAGTTTTAGCAATTGAATAAATACTATGTTTTGAAGTCAATGAATAATCGTTTTATAAATCCGAATTTCAATCTCAATCAAAAATACTTGTGATTTTTATTCCCATCATCATCCAGACCTGGATGGGAGGCAGATTATGTTTTCACAAACGTTTGTCTTGTGTGCAGTGCCAACGTGGCTGCGATGAAAGAATATGCTGTAAAATAAATCGACACGAAGCTAAGCACCCCGACAAGTACAAGGACCTGCATGTAAAAGAGACGCCCCAGAAGATAGAAAAGAAAATGAGTGTGGTTTCACAAGCATACTATGTTCACACAAGTAAAATCAACATTTTTTTTCTGAACAATTACGAATACAAGGTTCGCAAGAAACCTTACCTGACAGGCCTTTCAGGCATCTTCCCATCTTTCATCCCTCCTGTGGAGGCTGTGAGAGAGGGCGCCGAAGGGACAGATGGGGGCAAAGACGGTGTGGTGGTGGAGGACGCCGACATGGTGACCACCATGGTGGAGGAAGCTGTCGCCGCGCTCAAGGAAGGCATGGTGACCTCTTGAGCCTCAGTGGCATCCTCACCACAGTGGGGACAGAAAAGCATCTATGTTCACACAAGTAAAATCAACATTTTTTTTCTTACAATTACGAATACAAGGTAAGCAGTGAGCCTTTGCAATTAACCTTACCTGACAGGCCTTTCAGGCATCTTCCCATCTTTCATCCCTCCTGTGGAGGCTGTGAGAGAGGGCGCCGAAGGGACAGATGGGGGCAAAGACGGCGTGGTGGTGGAGGACGCCGACATGGTGACCACCATGGTGGAGGAAGCTGTCGCTGCGCTCAAGGAAGGCATGGTGACCTCTTGAGCCTCAGTGGCATCCTCACCACAGTGGGGACAGAAAAGCATTCCGCCATTTGTTCTGCTCCGCCCACCCCCGAGTACCGTGACACACCCACGGTGGAAACGGTGGGCGATGCGCTGATCCGGGCAACACTCAAGGAATGTTCCCTTGAAGAAGAAAATGGGGTTGAGCGTGGACAAATCAACCACCTTGGTGGAAAGATGAGAGAAGGTGCTGGCAACTTACTGCTACACAAAAGAATCCACAACCGGGACAGCAGTGGTGTTTCACCATGTGAGAGCGATGGGTCTCACAAAGCACCATAAGGGGCACCCGGCTAGATGGTCGCATGGTCTCTCCCTTGACCGTCACATTGGTGCAGGGCCTCAGCTGGCACATTGACCAAAAGGATATCAATTACAAAGCTAGTCTGTGATTTCTTAAAAATGAGTCCAGCTGCAAAATGAGACATGATGGGATGAGATGGGCAAATCTGACGGGCCACGATTAGCATCGATTTTAAAGCTGTCAAAGATTTTTTTTTTTAATGAGAAACCGAGACCGCCTGGACCTTTGAGGCTGGAAAGATGAGGACAGCACGTGACACTATTCCCCGACAACTCTGCCTAAGCTAAGTCGTTTGTTTCATTTTCCAATACCTGTTTACACTTAAAGGACCGAAAGTGGCACAATGGTTCAATGTCACCAACATGCTCATTTTATTTCGTTTTTGCTGAGGAAAATGAAACAGACGCTCATTTTCAAAAATAACAATCCCTTTTGAACTAATCAGTAAATAACTAATAGCCCCTTTTTCACCGACATGCCCGCATGTCTCTGTGTGCTGTCAGTTGCAGAACTGGACAGCAAATTGCCTGGTGTGGACAAAGGAATGTACTTTACTATAAAACGGCAGTATTAACTCAGATTTTATATATCGTCGCTGTCAGACGGAATCCCCACATGTCCTAAAGAAATAAATAAATATAGTTGGTACCATATACTGTTGCACACTCACATTCACAACAGGAAGCAAAAATCATCCTGAGTCGCTCATTTAATATGCAAAAAAAAAATTAACCTCTCCATTGCTGCTCTCAGTGGCCATACACTGTCTGCTGACGCGGTGGCTGGTGCTGTCGAAGCGAGGCGCTTCCATCCTGCAGCTGCAAAGGGGAAGCTCCTCTAGCCGCTCCGTGTCGCCCCCGTCGCTTCCCTCTGCGACAATGACATTTTAGATTGGCCATCGATCCAGTTGGCTATATCAGATTGGCCGAGATTTGGGATTTTATCAACTGTAATCTGTAAATTAATCAATGACATAATTGATCCGACCTGTGAATTAAGGACAGCTGCGGTGTTATTTGTATTTTCATTTGGAAGCGCCGCTTCATGTACACATTTTACACAAATCTTTAGTACGGATAAACATCTATACAATGTGAGGAATGCTACTTTCCCATGTACTCATGTACATTACGCAGTCAGGACTCTTATTCCCGTGAAATTACATCAGAAATCACATTGTCCAAGACCTTCAAGTTTGACACCGGTAGACCATCAGCAGGAACTAGGTCTAAAGTATGTCCTTATGCGAACAATCCTTGCATAATTGCTGAACTATTTAGAAGACTAAAAGAGAGGTCTGAGATCAAAACTGGAGTTAGCTAATAATGAAAATTGCCAAATGGCAACATGTACTGACCTACACATAGCTCACACAAACCTCATTTAAAACCCAAATGATGTTTGATTACGCTGATTTCAATGGTGATGCGGCCAAAACAGACACATCTTTTTTTTTTTCAGTCTCAAAGACATTACGAGACCATGAAGGCAGAAAAAATTGAGAAATGAGAAATGCCAAGATGTTTCTAACACCGTAGCTTCCCGTGACATCAAACATACACGTCGTAAATGTGTGACCCTACCATGATGAGGTGAGAGTGTCAGGCTGTCGGCAGCAGCAATGTCCAGTGCATCCAAGGGAACCTCGGTGTACTCGGCGGACCTTCCAGCTGAAAACCGGACATAGCACCCACCAGAATGAGCGTCTTGCTGCTGTTCGTGGGATATTCTTAGCAAAACACAACATCATTCAACATCATTCTAGTCTCACGTGTCATGTTAGCATAGCCTAAAGTTCAACTTTTTGAAGCTCACGTAACTGTTTGTATAAATAAATGATCGGGGGTGGCAAATTTTGGTCGTGAGTTAAACAGCGGTTAGAAATAGACAACTATCAAATTAAAATGAAATTTCTAATTTTACTATTTCTCAGTGTTAATAGGCAAAACAGATTTCATGACGACAAGAATGTTTTGACAACGCCTTAAGACTACGCTTACCGTATGTCACTCACCTCCTACTGTCTCCAGCACATCAGAGTTGATTCTGTCTGTCGCCTGATCTGCCTGTTTCCATGGAAACTCTCGAGACTTGCTCTGAATCAGCGTGTCTCTCGGTGATTCGGAATCCGACTCCTGAGAAGAATGTTCAATTGGATAGGACGGATTCAATGTCTGTGATGTTGCATTCGGGTCAGCATTCTGACAAGACATCGGTTGAATTTGAAACTACAAGGTCTGGCCTGCGCCCTTTGTAAAAAGGCATGTCCAAAAAAAAAAAAAAAAAAAACACCCATAAGGCAGATGCAGAATTTGATCGAGCGTGACAAAAGTCAGCATTGGTGAACAAGTCAAAGCTCCACAGCCCAGAAAAATACAAGTCTTTGCGTGCCACTTGCCATCTTCGACTTACCGGTTTTTGTGTATTGTCAGAAATGTTCTCGGTTTTGTCAGGAGAGCTGGCAGATAAAACGCCAAGTTTTCTTTTTTTCGCAACTGTCAAGAAAGGGACACAACTTTCATTATTATTTTGCACAATGATACAGAAACACAAACATGGGTTTAATTTCAAAAGGGGACTTTCATGGTCACTGCTACCGGGCTGTGTTGTGTGCGGTGTGACTGTGTGCTTTATGGTGATTTCTGGTACAGTGGAAAAGGGATATGGCGATAGGCCCTTATTAATTTCACTTTTGGACATCTTGCAATACAATAGAACCACTGGATTCAAATGCTGCTTAGGTAGTACAGATGGAGTTTTGAAATGTCAGATGGAGTTTTGAAATGTTAGCGTTCAAATCAGTGTTGGTGAGACCAACTCCATATGCATGATTAGCTTTTTTTTTTTTTTTTTTTGCATGTGAAGCCAGCACAGAAGAGCACCAGTGACGCCAAAGAGAAAAAGTGTGAGAATGACCGTAGCAAAAGTGGAAAATTTGTCTCTATCCTGGCTGCTTCCAACAGAATATTTGTACAAACGGTTTCATTAGGTGACATTTTATATTTCCATTATTGCCTACAGGAAAAAAAAATCACAATTTAAATCAGTAGAGTCCTACGAGTGATTGTGTTTTACAAATACAACAAAAGGTTTCATGCTACGTACTGCAACCCAACTGCATTCCCCATCCATTTTAGCCATCTATATAAATATGGATGTGCAAAAGACAAATGTCACTGTACATTACATTTGAGATAAACTACCTCAAAGTCATCTAAAAACAGAATAACCTGTCCATATTGTTTCCAAATGATTAGAGATGCTCACCAGTTTCAGTGTCGGACGACGACCCTGACGGCGTCACAGGTGCAGGTGCTGTGTCTATTTGGCTCCTCTGTATAATAAAGTAATTTGTTTCAAAAAAATACACACACACACACGCACACGCACACACACAGGCATTAACGGAATGGAACTCTGTCATTTACCTGCATTGGTGGTAGCCGGGTCATTGTTTTACGTGCCCTATGGATTTTTGGTGGTTCCGATAAGGTAGAGGGAGAGGAGCACGATGGAAGTGCAGATGGCAGGACAGGTTTACTACTAATAGGCCCAGAAACACTCATCTTTGCGCGGCCTGGTGACAGTGCCACACACGTAGAAGAAGAGGAGGACAACAAGGAGGAGGTGGTCAAATGTATGGATTTGGCTGCATACCCTGTACGGGAGAGGTCAGATTTAGCACAAAGGGATATTAATGTAAGAAATTGTGGACATTCCAAAGCAAAATATCACCAGGAGGTGGTTTATGAACAGGGGAGGACGCGCCATCCTCTCCATCTTTGGGTGCATCCTTTCCAGGCTGCTGAGGACTCAACAACTGTGTTACACCACCGGCTGGTTCTGTTTTTGTGGCAACGTCATGCATGGTGACATCAGCATTATCTGAAGGGAAAAAGTCATTTGTTGAATTTTTTTTTTTTAAATTAAAAAAACCACATCTTCCACACACAGAAAATAAACTAAAGGTGAGGCATACCTTGCTTGACTTGACTTGGGACAGCTATAGACTCTGAGACATATCCTTCTAGAGACTCCTGGGAAATAAACAAGACAATATCCAAAGCATAAATTTTTATATTCTTGTATTTCTGAATCCATTGATTGTTTTGTTGTAATGTGTGTATAGTACAATATAAAAAGTCCACACACACCTTATCAAATGCCAGATTTGTTGTGATGTAAATATCAATAAATAACTAAATAAACAAGTCCAAGATAAATAATAAAAATAATTCCAACTATCACGTGGCCCATAACTTTTAAAATTCATTCGTAAAACAAAGTGAAATCTTTAAGGTACATAAATATAAAAAGTACAGTAACATTGACCCATTAATATGTGCACCCTCAAACCAAGATTTTCTTGTCTTTTGGGGTAGGACTCCACCTGTTATATGTATTAATTATTCTATTTCAGGGGTAGAATTGAATCTGTTTAACTGAGAATTTATCTGGTTTTCGCAAAGGTAAGCATCATCTTGAGATGCTTGGGGCAAAAAAATTACCAGGTAGACCAATATTTTAAGAAGGCGATGATATGCAAAATGAAGAATTCAGTCATGAAACGCGCACATATATTTGCGTTTGGTTGGTTTTTCAACCAATGGCTGCTCATCTCGGTGTGTACGTCAAATGCCGCCATCGGTAAAGCAAGCCATTCATCACAAAACAAAACAAAAAGACTAAACTTCAGCAATTGTGCACAAAAGCATCACAGTTAAAACTCGACTACAAATAAGAATACACCAAATTGTAAAATGTACAGTTGGGCCACGTTTCGTGTTGACCGTCGAAAAGACTGGACGAATTAAAATTCATGATTCAATAGAATTGGATGAAATAACTTACAGGTAAGGTACTACGGTCTCGACAAAGGTAAAAAAAACGAAAAATTATCACAGATAATCATAGTACAGTTGAAGAACATCATTGTTACTAGCTAACAATCACAATTGCTAGCACTTTAGCATAACTTAGAAACAAATAGCTCCTGTAACCAACACTTAGAACGCTGCCATATTCTAAAGCGTCGTATTTCACGATATATGAAAGTGTAATTTCAAATGTGTAGTTCTTATATGCTGGCCTAATGTGTATTCTTTGCTACCTTTGTCGAAGGCTCGGAAGCCGACATGTTTCCCAATGAGCGTCAACGTAAGGGGAAATGAACGTGTTTACGTCACGTGCCAAGCCCCGCCTCCGGCAGCAATGTTATTGATTGGAAACCCGCTGATCGGGAATCAGTATGCACCTTCACGCTTAAAGTGGACCGAAGCGCAGGGCGAACAACAAAACCGACTCAAAGTCAGTCCAGTTGTCCGATAACACTGTTGACTGCTGTTGTCACGGGATGCTCTTCATCCTCAGAGGTCGTAAAGTAAACAGAGTGGCTGGAGTAGCAAGCACCGAAAGGAAGGAAAAAATACTTTTAACGAAACGATTCAGTCGGGTGAAAAAAAAGACGGTTCGGTTCACTCGACGGAATACAGGGGGGCGGTGAGTGCATTCAAAGTTAAATCCTGCAACAGGATGAGTGTGGATGTTTTGTTTGTGCTTGAGTGGTCAGATGCCAGCAAGCTAACGCTAGCTACTACTCGGGCTGTGTGCGTGTGTGTGTGTGTTAGCTGAGGAGGAAAATAGTAATCGGTAACGTCATTTATTATTATCCTATTTGTCGTTTATCATAACGATTCCTGGTTTTGGAGTCAACGAATTGAGGTGACTTTTCATGGCCGTTCGATATTTAAAATTATTATTAAATATTGTTTTGTTTTGTTTTTTTGCAAAGATTATTGTCACATTCTAGAGCCGCACGATTCTTTTCTTTCTCTGCTAAATTTTATACTAGCTACCACATATTAAATTCCGTAGTGCTCTATTATAGTATTATAGCAACACCAAAGGAATACAGTACATAGACCGCCTATAATATAATGCATTCCATTTGATGTTGTTGATGTTCTTAAATTGAACTTGCACCTTTCAGTCTAATAGAACAAGCAAGGCCAGGAAGATTCCAAAATGAGCTGTCAGCTGCCAATGAACATGCTCCATATCTCTTCAGACACGATGGAGATGCTGTGTTTCCGCTTGCCCGCCCATGGGGACATGACCCTCAAACACATGAATTCTTTGCGATCTCGCCAGCATTTTTGTGATGTCACCATTTTGACCAGCAACAACCAAACATTCAGCGGACACAAGGTAGTGCTTGCTGCTTGCTCACCCTTCTTGAGAGACCAGTTCCTCCTCAACCCTTCCTCTAAGCTTCAGGTATATAAAGAATGGCAACGTGCAAATGCTTTTGTGTCTGCTGTCCTGTGGTTTTAAAAAAATGCTCTTTCTCACCGATTTCTAGGTTTCAATGCTGCACAGCTCTTCTGTCATGTGCAATCTGCTCCAGTCCTGCTACACCGGTGTTCTACAGTTTAAACCAGAGGACATAGTCAACTACTTGACTGCCGCGAGTTACCTGCAGATGGAATGTATTGTAGAGCGCTGCAGGGATGCTCTGAAGAAGTACATGCAGCTGAAAAGCCCCAATCCACTGAAGGTTAGTCACACCAAAAGTGTTTTCCCTAAAAGACAGAAAACGCTACCGTTGTTTTATTTCAGCTTAAGTTTTTCTAAACCAATTTCAGTCGTGCCAGTTGTTGCACAAAAACTTAAGGATGGTGGCAAAAAGTATAAATGTGTGTCTACTGTCTATCCTGGCTTCTCAGTCCAGTAATGCTATCTTGTCAGCTCAAAATCAATAATAAAATGATTGCATTTATTGTTAATGCCTCTGAGGCAAAGGCGTACAAACAAAAAAGCAAACCGGGATCCTCACTTTCCAATTTATCGTAACGCAAGAGACCCCATTGATTTTTGAAATGGGACAGCTGATCCTGAACCTGCAGTCATGAGTCACAGCTCTTCACAAATGGTCCTTTCAAATTTGAAAGTTCACGGGACGTCTTTTTTTTTTTTTTTTTAGGCGAGCCTGCAATTCATTTGAGCTCACGTTATTTTCTTTTTCCACTTCTTGCAGATAACGAAAGAGGAGAGAGTGCCTCAGCCCGTGATTGTCAGTGGCAGCATTCATTCCATCGCATCACCCCCAGGCGGTCGACCTTCCCCCGTGCGTAGCCCAGAAATCCACTTGGTGGAGGAGAACAACACACAGGACAGCAGTCAGCGCAACGATAGCAGTCTTTTGGTGGAAAAAACATGCGTGAAGGTGTGTGTGTTTGTTTGTGTGCGTGTATTCCATTAAATGTAGCCTTCTTTTTCCTGAAAGTCGTAGGCTCCTCCTCTGTCTCCTGGCTGGGCCTTTCCCCCTTCCCAAAGAAACTTTCCAAAGACCTTTGTTTTTTACTCATTTTGCTAGCTCCTGGGTTTCATTTTCGCGGTAACCTATCACGTAACTGAGAAGCAAGCCTCCACCTGCGTCAAGAGTGACATATTGTAGACGGATGTAACAGAGGATCCGGTAATTTTTCAAAATAAAACACCTTTCAGATTCCGAAATGAATAAAACGGAAGTAGTGTAAGTTATGTATTCTTTCTGTGCGACCCGGTAGCAAATGACCCACATCCGCGGCCCGGGGTTTGGGGACCTCTGGTGTAGTGTTTTCGATGATTGCGACCTGTCTAGGGTGGAGTAGTCGGTGTGGGCACAGCTACTTTGAAAAATCAGGAAAGTTCTTTTACTGATGACTTAACATTTTTTTTTTTTTTAAACATACAGGGAGTGTTTTTGGAAGCTAAATAACACATTGTCAAGAGCACAGAGTGTGCAAACTCTCTGAAAATGCAAATCTCTTTCCTTCCAATATTGGGATTGATGCTTTCGACGTTGTGTTAATGTCTCTATTTTTTGGCACAGGATAATGCATCAAACCATGGAGGAGATACGTTCCAAGTTTACATCTCTGACGAAGAGCAGAACGCTGTCAAAGTAGAAGATTCCAGAGCTCCCGCTGATGAGCATAATGATGCTCGTTCCCCTGCGGCAGACGGGGGGGTGGGAGGAGAATGTGGCGAATATGACTTGATTCCAACTGCCCAAGTCCCTGGCACGGATGGCTTCTCAAGGGAAGGACTGCGATCTTTCAGACACAGGTTATCCGAACCTGGCTGGGGCCGAGGTCGAGCAATGGGGAGGGGTTTCAAGAGGAGGCGGTGGGTGTCATCTCAGGAGAAAAAATCTCCTTTGTCAGCCTCCGAAGATTTGTGGTATCTTGCCGGGACGGCTGGCGGCTTTGGGATGGACTTCAGCGAAGGGTTCAAGCCGGGAAGTTTTTTCTCAGTCGACCTCCCGCGATTGGATTTGAGTTTAGACGACGCTCAGGGGGACAAGTCCTTGCCACTGGCCGCCAGTAGTTTGACACATTTTGCAGTGGACGAGTCTGCCAACGCCGGTGAGGGGAGTTGCGGGTTGAATGCCGGTACGAGCGAGGCAGGGGACGAGTCTGTCGCCGTGGTGGGCTCCACATCTAGCGTAACCGGGCTGGTCATCTGCGAGCACTGCGGCGTGACGTGCCCGTCGACTCATGCTCTGGCCATGCACTACTGCTCCGCCCACCAGGTTTACTCCTGCCCCTTCTGCGACAAGCAGTTCCACCACTCATACAACCTGAACCGACACATGGCCTTGCACCGGGGCAACGGCAAACCCCACCAGTGCCCCCTGTGTTCCAAGGGCTTCACCCAGAGGTCCACGCTCATCGACCACATGAACCTCCACAGCGGCGAGCGCCCGCACCGCTGCGCGTACTGCCACGCCCGCTTCGCCCACAAGCCCGCCTTACGGCGCCACCTGAAGGAGCAGCACGGCAAAACCACAGTGCAGAATTCCATCCACGAGCAGGAAGAGCGAGAGAGATCGCTCGGGAGGATACAAGAAGAAACGCAAGAATGTCCGGTCACTGAGAAAACGTCTTAAACAAAAAAAAGTAAGGCTAAACTGATTTCATCATGTAAATGTAGTTTAGATGCAGGGTCTTTTAAATTGTTGGTTTTAATAATGGTAAATATTGTATTTAATGTAAATGGCATTCAGAGGAATCATTGGGGCCTGCAAACCTGTTGACACCTGGAGTCATCTCGTGACCTCTGCGTCCCGCATGCGTCCTGCGGGACGCAGAGTTCCAAATAATGTGCGTTTTTGGGACGCAAGGAAATTTCTCAGTCAAAACAACTAAAAAAATTACGGTACATCTCTTTTTTCCAGCAACGCAGTGTCGCATTTCAATAATAACGCCGCCATTGTTGTTTTGATCTCGCGTTAAGTAATTTCCGTTCTCGCGAGACGAGATTGGCTCGATCGGCCTTCAACCTCGCGGAAAGCAGACGATTACCAAGTTGTGTAACGTTAAAACAAGTGTTGCGAATAAATGTTGCGAAAGTTTATTGCGGAGATATCACAGAGGAAGCAGCTAAAGTTGGATAGTTTTTTTGCGATAATAAGTTGACTTTGAGCAAGTCTTGCATCATTGGAAGCAGAGTAAAGAGGAAAATTTATGAACTCAGACTGAACCATGGGATGAAATAAGAACCTATTTCTCAGCAAATCTTGTATACCTGAATTAAATTTTTGCAGCATTTGTTTGTAAGAAATAAACCTACTATCAATGTATATTGTTGTTGGTTGTGTTATTATCATATGCAATTGAATAAGTAGACCATTTCAGAATTCAAAATTTGGGACTCTAAATGCATAATGGGACTGACTCATACTTTTCTGATCAGCGAGTCCCTGGGACTCGCTGGGTTTAAACTGTAAAATTATCACTGCACCTGTTGTACACTGCCTATTGTGGGGGCCTTAAATAGAAGGTTTGTTCAATTTATGATTCCTTTGAAGCGCCAATGACATGGACCGCTGGTAATTACTGTTCAAAGAAATAAATGTTTTGAGGTCTGTTTTCCTGTTAAATTACTGTTCACCACACACATTTTTAGGTTCAAGCATAAAGACGGGATGCAAGATTAAAACAGGAATAGCGCACAGCTGGCCGTAATATGAATCATTTTAGATTTTTTTTTTTTGCTGAGGTAAGAGAATCCAGTTCATCCCAACATGTATCACACTCTGTCCAAATTTTGTGCTAAAGTGAAATTTTTTGATGATTAGGTATCTTTTAGCTGGAAATGACATCAGTGGCAAAAGGACTTTTTACATTTTGACACATGTCCAAAATTACATTTTACATTATTAAAAAAAAAGTTTATGGAAAACACTTGATTGGGTTTTGGGCTATACATTTATTGAGCACTGTACCATTGTAATTGACACTGCCAATCACCACAAAACATCATAGTTATCTTTTTTTTGGCAAATTTATGAATGTTATCATTTTTGACAAACAAACAAACAAGAGATTTTGTCACCCATTGATGGCCGACAGGTCGTGATGAGAAAAAGGATTAAAGGCAAAAGACAGAAACCGAATGAATAATAATAGCCACTTGGTTTCATTCCAGGAAATCTTCGCTGTACACGACCTGATTCCTCTTGTCCCTGTAAGAGCCTTTGGTGCTGTTGTGCACGGCTGTAAATCAAATATGCAATTTAAAAATGAATGTAGATGCACATGCGTCGAAAACCGAAGCTGAACGAGCGAGTGTTTACCCAGAGAAGCCCACACAGACTTGCCAGTGGCGGCGTCCAACATGGGTTGCTTCCTGGCAATGCTGACTTTGATATGAACGTCTCCTACTGTGCTCCCATTCATCTGAGGGTGAATTACAGATTAGACATTAGAATAATGGAAAAGCTGATCATAATATTGCTTTCCAGAATCATTTCTGTGCATGATTCTGGAGGATGTCATCATGTACCAACCTCAGCTACTGCCTGGTCTGCAGACTCCATCTTCTCAAATGTAATGAATGCACAACTACAAATTAAAACAGTAATGGTGAATCATGCACTCCAAAAAATATATACACATGATAAAAGCATTAGATGACGAGATGTACACGGATTGTTTCCTACTTGCGTGGGTTGTCCATGGAGAGGTCGATGATGTTGCCGTGTTGAGAGAAAGCTGAGCGCATGTTGTCCTCGGAGAGCCCCGAGCCATAAACATACACCGTATTCCCTTTTCTCACTCTGCGCTCGGGATATGAATCCGACCCTGATAAAGGAAGCGGCGGCTTTACAAATCCAGTGATGAAGCAGGAGACTTTTTTTCCTTTCCTTTTTGGAGAGTTCACAGTCATGAACAAAGAATAGTTACTCACGTCTGAATGTTCCATCACGCTCTTTGTCCGCCTCACGGTCACGATCCATCTCACTGCTCCGGTCTCTGCTCCGGTCTCTCTCCCTGTCCTTTTCTCTATCCCGCTCCCTCACCCTGTCACGCTCTCGATCCCTGTCACGCTCTCTGTCCCGTTCGCGGTCTCTATCTCGCTCACGGTCACGCTCACGGTCCCGTTCTCGCTCTCGGTCACGCTCCCTATCACGGTCCCGGTCCCTCTCTCGATCTCTGTCTCGGTCCCGGTCTCTGTCTCTGTCCATCTCTCGGCTGGAGGACATTCCTCCCCCATCCTCTTCATCGCGATATCTGTCACTTGAACTGACGAAGCTGTGGGAAAAGGTAGGGGAAATATTTTACACCAACAAATTGAGATAGAACACCATTCCCCCCCCGCCCCAAGAAGCTGGGATATTACCTCTCATACAGAGACTTCCTGTGCGACCTCCTTCCAGACTACAAGTAAGACACAAGATATTATGTAAACACCATGACAAATGACAGAACCTATTGTATATCTTATAGCATCAGTCAATATTGGGTCTGATTCCGAAAGGGTTGTCCACTTAAGACCAGAAGTGTAACTGGGCTTAAATAAATACAACCTTTGAAAACCTAGAATGTAAAAACTGTAGTGACACCTGCCACACACGCAGTACAAAAAAATTGCCCTTGTATACACACACTCATTTATATGTGAAGAAGGGTATCTTACCATTGTAATAATGGTGTCAAGCTTAACACATTGCATATTACCTCAGGTTGCTCTTCATCTGTAGAAACGCTCCTTTGGAAAGGTAAGAAAGCTGGAACCGGGCCCTTTTCAGGGTCCTGTGATGTAGCGCGTGCGCGCGCACACACACACACACACACACACACACACACACACACACACACACACACACACACACACACACACACACA